TGTAGATTGTAAAGAATGGTGCTTTCAGTGTTCATGCGGAGGTATTTATGTGGGTGTGTGTTCATTTCACTTGGTTGTATTCCTGAAAGTAGAATTTCTGGATCCCTTGGTAACTTTCTATTTAGTCAGCTGAGGAAATCCTGATGTTTCCAAAGCAGCCCTACCATTTTACATCTCCGCCTAGATGACAGTTTCTCCTCATGTTTGTCCACATTTGTTGCTATCTTTTTGATTCTAGCAATCTTAGAATGAAATGCTGGGTATCTTCATGGGCTTGACTTCGTTTCCCTGTTGGCATCTTCTCAGACACTTACTGGCCCTTTATACATATTTCTTGGAGAAATATCTGTTCAGATTCTTTCCCGATTTTTCTAGTTAGACTGTCTTGTTATCCTTGAATTATAAGCATTCTTTATATGTTGTAGATGCAAATCCTTTGTCGGGTTGCAAATATTTTTTCCTATTTTATGAGTTCCTTTTTTTTCCCCCGATGGTATTGTTTGAAACACAAAAATTCTTACTTTTCACAAAGTTCAATTAATCTTCTTTTCATATTTCATACTTTTGATACCATATCTATATAAAAAGTCTTTGCCTAGTCCTTGATCATTAAGATATGGCACTGTGTTTTTCAAGTTTAATAACTTTAGCTTTTACCTTAATTTCTTTGATTGATTTTGAGTTAACTTTTCCATGGTGTGTGACATAAAGGAGCAGCTTTATTCTTTTGCATTTGGTTATTTATTACAATTTTGAAAAGACTGTTCTTTTCCTATTGGGTGATCTTGGCACTCTTAAAAAGTCACCTGGAGAATAAATGTATGTTTACAGTTTTGTTTTGTTTTTTTTACCTCTCTTACTGTTTAGATTGCTCTTTTGCAGATAATTCTGTCACAGAACAAGATCATTTTTAAGTAGTCATTTAGGGGATGTTTGTGTAACATCTTGCAACACAGACTTTATCTAGGAAGGTACATGTTTTCATATATGACACAGCTGTTCTGGTCAGGAATGTTAAGTTCGTAAAGCCGTGTTTTGGTAGTGATGGTGACATTTTAGCTTCCATTCCATTGGTGTTCCCTGAGTGCTTACCAAAATGTGTGACAGTCCTTTCCTCAGGCTGCCACTTATGTATGACCTGTTGGGAGCAGAGAAAGGGAGTCAATCACATGACATGAACATTCCCTTCTGGAATCTTTTTTAGTTCATAAAGGTAGAATATTCTAAAAGTGCATAGATTGTATAGCTAATTTTTGCCTAAGTATTGTTTTAGTGCTTACTTTTTTTTTGAAAGATTTATTTATTTTTATTGGAAAGTCAAACTTATAGAAAAGAGAGAGCGAAAGGTCTTCCATCCACTAATTCATTCCCTGAGTGGGTGCAGTGGCCAGAACTGTGCCAATCTGAAGGCAGGAGCCAGGAGCTTCTTCCAGGTCTCCTACACAGGTCCAGTGTCCCAAGCCATTAGGCTGTTCTTCACTGCTTTCCCAGGTCACAAAGCAGGGAGCTGGAAGGGAAGTGGAATAGCTGAGTACGAACCAGTGCCGATATGGGATCCTGGCGCATGGAAGGCAAGGGCTTTAGCCACTAGGTTATTGCACCTGGCTCTATTTTTTTTTCTTTTTAAAGTAAGCATTTTCTTTTTAAAACTTATTTTTATTTTATATTTAATATTGTTTACATAGCTGAGATGGCTGCCAATTTGGGTTTTTGATTAGGTTGGGGAGAATCATGTGTGGAGGAGGGTGGGAAGGAAGGACACATGTTTTAATTTTTTTCTCCTGTGTCCATAGTTGCAGGGGTTAGGAGAGAGGGCCACTTCTATTTGTGCAACTACTTTAGAACCTGGGGACTGAGGACAGTCCTTTGATGCGCCTGAGAGACTCTGATGTGGGGCAGAGTGCTCTGAGAGTGTTACTTGAGTTGTTTTGATAGTTTTGACTCGTCAGCTTCCTTGCACCAGGGTTGAGAAAATCTTTCCAAGGTTGATTGGCTAACCAGGTTCACCTTAGTGCATCCATAGACTCAGGAACATGTAAAGCTTGGCCAGGACAGTGGTCCAACCTGTTCTGCTTTCCAACTTCTGGTAAGGCACTTGACATCTCTTGCTAGCCTAGATGAGTTGACTGTCATGTCCACTATGGGCATCTGGGCTTGCTGACCATTGCACAGGCATCAACAACTGAGGCCCATTCTGAATATGTGCACTCTAAAGTTGTATCACACGTATTGTGCTTTTCCCTGTGGCTGGGCTTTGAGTCCAACCATCCAGTTGTGGAGTGCCCCAAGAAACCTTGCTGGGGTGACATTAGGCTTGACTCTTGTGCATGCCAGTCAGTGCAGCAGGTTTGGTCTGTCACCTAGCCCAGCCAATGCACATACCCAGTGGTTGCAGCTGCTTGATCAGTTTTGGCCCTAGCTCCATCTTTTTCTGATGGGTGCTCAGCCTAGCCCAACCCAGCCTGTTCCAGGCCAGCTCTTCATGCACACCAGCAGATGGTACAGTTTAGTTGGGGCAACCCCTGTTAGCCCACCAGACCCAATGCCAGCACCAGTTTTTACAAGTGCTAGCACATGTTGTAGCCTAGCCTAGCCTTGTCACCCTGGCTCTAGTGCCACCCTTGGGTGCTGCAGCTTTACTTAGCCTTTCCATTCCAGACCCAGCTTACACATAACCCAACGAATGCTGCTATCTTGACCAGCCTGGCCCACCCCCTACACTGACTGTCATGATCACCCGTGAGAGCTGCAAGTGCCCACAGTTTCTATACCAGGCCCATTCCCAGTCCTGGGTCTTGTGCTTGCCAGTGGGTGCTGTGGCCCAGTCTGAGATGGCCCATCCCCAGCATTTGCCAGCTGGTGCTACATTCTGTTTCAGCACGGCCCACCCACAGTCACAACTCTTGTCAGTGAGTACAGCGACCTAACCCAGCCTGGACTACTTCCTTTTTTTTTTTTCTTTTTTTTAAGATCTATTTGTTTTTATTACAAAGGCAGATATACAGAGAGGAGGAGAGATAGATAGGAAGATCTTCCATCGATGATTCATTCCCCGAGTGACTGCAATGGCCGGTGCTGTGCTGATCCAAAGCCAGGAGCCAGGAACGTTCTCCAGGTCTCCCACGTGGGTGCAGGGTCCCAAGGCTTTGGCCCGTCCTCGACTGCTTTCCCAGGTCACAAGCAGGGATCTGAATGGGAAGTGAAGCAGCCGGGATACAAACTGCAGCCCATATGGGATCCCAGGGCGTTCAAGGCGAGGACTTTAGCCGCTAGGCCACGGCGCCGGGCCCTACTTCCAATCTTCATGTGAACTGGCAGGTGTTGTGTGATCCAATCCAGAATGGCCCAGCCCAGCACACCTCCAGACCTGGCTCGCATATGCCAACTCATACTGCGGTCTACCCTTTCCTGGCCTGTCCCCAGCACTGGCTCTCAGGCTCATCAGAAGGAGCTGCAACCTAGCAGGCGAGTGTCCCAAGTTCCCCTACCAGGCCTGCTCCCAGCCCCAACTCTTTCATGTGCCAGTGGTGCTGCAGCTCAACCCAGTTCAAGCATCACTGGCAGTACATGCTGTGACCTAACCTGTCAAGGCCAGGTCGGCTCTTACCAGTGTGTGCTGTGGCCTAGCCCAGCCCCTCCACACCCATTTTGGCTTCAGCTCTGGCTGGTGGGTGTTGCAGCCTAGATCAGCTGGGTATAGCCTACACCCTGTCTTGGCACTCTTGCATACCAGCTGGTACTACAGCCCAGCCAACTTGGCCTTCCCACCCCCAGCTGCAGCTTTGTGCTCCCCAGTGAGAGCTGCATCCTAGAAGGGATTCCCGAGTTGTCCTGCCTTGCCTACTCCCAGCTCCAGGTCTCATGCAGGTGTCATGGCTCTACTTGGCATGTTCTGCCCGCAGTTGTGATCTTTGCATGTGTTGGCATGTGCTGCAGTCTGACCCAGCTTGGCCCCTCCTAGCCCTGGCTCCCACAGATTTCAGGTAAATTCTTAGTGCAGTCTGGTTCAGCCTGTCACCACCACCACCCCACCCCAGTTTTCGGTATAAACCAACAGGGGTTGCAGTTCCATAGAGGTGAACCCACAAGCCCTCTACAGAATCTTTCCCCAGATCTAGTTCTTTTGCATTCTGTTGGGTGCTGCAGCCCATCCTGACACAGCCCATCATCTGCTCTGACATCTGTGAGCGGGTACTGCACTTAGCCTAGCCTGTCATGTCCCTCAGCCCATTTTGTTTGCAGCAGTAGGTAGCAGGTGATTCTATCTAACCCAGTCTAGGTCACCCATGTGGGTGGGTGCTTTGGCCTGGTGGAGACATAACTTCTAGTTCCCTCTTTGGCAGCCGCCTCACTTACCTGTGAGTGCAGCGGCCAGTCCATGGAAGGCTGCAGAAGTCATTCTTCCCCTTTCAGACATGCCCTCAGGTGTCCTACTCCAATATGTCCCCAAACTCCCTTCCCTGGACAATTTGCAGCTCCTCCATCTGGGGGCCAAGGTAGTGTGTCTCATCCCAGCAGTCTCTGCCATCCCCACATATCTTTGAAAAAAAATAATGGAATAGACAACTCTGCTGGCTCACTGGTTTAGTTAACACAGATTTGGCATTAACTAGACCCAGAGTGCCTGCCAGCTGTTGGCTGCTTTTCTCTCAGCAGATTAGCGCCTGTCTCTGTACAGGTAAGCTAGGCAGTTGCGTGCGTCTGGGGTAGCGTTTTCTAAATAACAAAACTCTCAAGTTGGAATTGTTTTCTCTTCAGGGCTCTAAATTAAGATGAGAGCCATGAAGGCTGCAGACAGGAAGGAGATGATGAGATGATTGGCTAACCTCGTGCTCTTGCTGCGTCCTGGAAAGCCCATGACCACAGATTGTTGGAGATGACGAGGCAGCATCATAACATTCTTTCTTTCCCTTTTCTTTTATGTAATTTGAAACATTTTCCACTAAGGAGCTTTTCCCTCTCCATATCATTTTGTATAATTTTATGTCCCTTTTTCTTAGGAGTCACAGCAGTCCAATTTTGGCCCTGGAGATCAAAGTAAGTATGTTTTTACTCTGTTCTTGGTTTTCAAGTAATACATTTATTGAGTATTTGATTCTCTTGGTCTCACCATATACTACTTTGATAAGTAGTAATGGGTTTAACTGAATAATGGGTTAACTGAATCTTGGTATGCTGGACTGTTCATCATTAGAAATCAAAATAAGCTTTATTACTTGGAATAGCCCAAAAGTTCATAGATTCAATTTTATGGGTACCTCATAACTCAAAAGTCATTCTGACTTTCCTTTAGGAAGAGGCTTGGTTTTGTGATGGTAAAACCTTACCCAGGAAAGAGTCAGTATAGCTGACTGTGGCTGTTTTCTTCCCAAGTCTCTATGTTGCCAACTTAGGCTTCCCAGGTCTCCTACTCTGGGTGAGAAGTCTGGTCTACTGTCTGCTACATTCTCCTCTTCTCTCCTGGCCTCTCAGAAAATCTTGACTGGAAGAGAACTGTAGGGAGCTCCAATGTCACCCTAAGGGATACTGGTTGTGTAGATGAGTAGTGGTAAGATTCAAGAGCGTTGGAACTTTTTAATCACTTGCTAATTACTTTTAGTGATCTTAAAGAGATGAAACCACAGTAATTTTTTATTTTAAGATTTATTTATTTTTATTTGAATGACAGACTTCTACAGAGAGAAAAGAGACGAGAGAGATAAGGTCCTCCATTCACTGGTTCTCGCCCCAAGCCGCCGCACTGCCCGGAGCTGAGCCGATCCGATCCAAAGCCAGAGGCAGGAGCTTCCTCCACATCTCCCACGTGGCTGCAGTGGCTCAAGGGCTTGAACCATGCTATGTCACTTTCCCAGGCCATCAGCAGGAAGCCAGATCAAAAGTGAAGCAGCTGGGCACAAACTGACATCCGTATGGGATACTGGTGCCACAGGATAGAGAATTAGTCTGCTGTGCCACCGTGCCAGCCCTTAAGATGTCTTTTAATTCTAAATTTTCTTTGTGGAGGTACTTCAAGAAGTTCTTGGAGTATGTGCATAATGCAAAAAGTGCATGACATTTTTGGTATGCAGAAAATAGCTAGCTAAAGGCCAGGAAATTTAAATTTTTCGTTTTTAAAGAACATCTTATCCTTACTGCTTCCTCATTCTCTTTCCCCATAGCTAACATGGCAAGTGGGATCATAGCTGTATGTGCTGTTTAAACCCTATCTTTTTTTTTTTTTTTTGGCTTGTTATTTTAGAACTGTTTCAGTATAAAGCTCCAGTTGATGCTTTTTAATATTCAAATTGTGCCATGTCACATGAAAGTATCATAATTTAGTCACTTACTGATGGATATTTAATTTGTTTCTGGTTTCTACTATTAAGAACTATGGATAGTCATATGTGTGTGTTTTTCTCCAGATTTATGTATAAGGTAAGTTTCTGTAATTGGAACTGTACAAAGTATCGATAAAGTAATGTTGCCCGACTTCGGAGCAGAAGGGTGATGCAAGTCTGCAGTCCTGCCAGAAGCTTGTAGACTTGCCTGTTTCCTGAGTATTTACCATTGTCATTACTGAGCTTGAATGTGTTGCTCTTTAATGATTGAAGAGTTAAATTTTGTTGTTTTGGCTTAATTTCTTTCAGGGTAGATATTTTATAATGTGAATAGTCAATCGTTGCTTACTTATGCATTCTTTTTATTCTAGAAAGATATAACCCTTCTTCAAAATCTTCAAATGGGCACCAGCCTAAATCGTAAGTTTATTGCTTATTAGTTTAATGTTTATCACTTTTTTGCGAAAGCTAATCTATGAAATGTGAACATTTTGGACAGTAGTTAGAAATATTTGCTTAATATTTTAAGACAAGAGTAGGCAAACTGTCACATAAAGGCCCTGATAGTGGCATGTTTTAGATGTCCCAGGCCATTCTCTTTGTCCTGTCTACTTCATTGTAGCCGCTTTGGTATGAGAGCAGCCAGAGACCAGGGCTGTGCTCCAATAAAACTATCTGCCCTACAGTGTGTGTGTGGGGGGGGGCAGCGGGGGAGGCTGGATTTGGCTTTCGGGCTATAGTTTGCCTGCCTCTGCCTCGAGATACATTTTTTCCTTCATCTGTGTGTGTGTTCATAGCTCATATTTAATAAATAATAAGATTAAATGCAAGAATTAACATAGTACTGTCTTCTGAAGATTTTTCAATTTTTTGTAGCTAGAAGCAGATAGGTGTATCAAAATATGGTAAGGTGAATAACTTTAGGGTCATACATTTCACGTTAAAGAGTGAACTGAATTCTTGGGCCCTGGTGTGGTAACCTAGCGGCTAAAATCCTCGCTTTGCATGCACTGGGATCCCTTATTGGTGCTGGTTCATATCCTGGCAGCTCCACTTCCCATTCAGCTCCCTGCTTGTGGCCTGGGAAAGCAGTCAAGGACAGCCCAAAGCCTTGGGACCCTGCATCTGTGTGGGAGACATGGAGGAGATTCCTGGCTCCTGGTTTCAGCTCTGCTCAGCTTCGACCGTTGCAGCCACTTGGGACGGAAGATCTTCCTGTCTTTCATCCTCTCTGTATATCTGACTTTCCAATAAAAAAAGAATTAAAAATTCTTTTTTAAAAAAAGTGAACTGAATTCCTGAGCCAATAAAATATTCTATATTATTCAGAATTCTAAAATAAAATTCTGATTAAATTGTGGCCATAGTACTAGCTCCCTATGCCATAGCCACAAACTGCTGGTGACCTTCCCAGGACCCCTGCAGTCAGCACAGAGAGGACCAAGTGGAAGTGAAAATATGTAAGTATAGGCTCTCTACTTCCACTTCTGAAGAATTGAAATTATATTTTTTTGATGCACACACGCACAAAAGCGTTCAGTATTACTGTAAATGTGCATATCATTTTGGTTGTTGAAGAAACCACAGCATGACCAGTCTGGTAAACTTTGGACATGTTCACATGGTAAGCAGGTTCACTGAGTTGGATTAAATGAGAGGATTGACAGAATTCAAAATAAGTACATTTCCCTGCGTAGAGATGAACTAAGCCCATATACTAAAGAAAATTTGTCCACATCACATATTGGATCAGTTTTAAAATGCTTCATAATTCTGTAATTACTTACTTCATTTAAGGTAATCTTTTATATAATACTTTGAGCATTTTCTTTTTTTTTTTTTTTTTTTAAAGATTTATTTTTATTATTTTTTCATTGGAAAGGCGGATATACAGAGAGGAGAGACAGAGAGGAAGATCTTCCGTCCGATGATTCACTCCCCAAGTGAGCCGCAACGGGCCGATACTATGCCGATCCGAAGCCAGGAGCCTCTTCCGGGTCTCCCACGCGGGCGCAGTGTCCCAAAGCTTTGGGCCGTCCTCAACTGCTTTCCCAGGCCACAGGCAGGGAGCTGGAAGGGAAGTGGGGCTGCCGGGATTAGAACCGGCGCCCATATGGGATCCCGGGCGTGCAAGGCGAGGACTTAACCACTTGCGCCACCGCGCCGGGCCCACTTTGAGCATTTTCTTCACACTGATGGGAGATGGCCATGAAATTTTAAGAAGAAAGACAATGGGACTACTACTGAGAAATTAAACGTGTGCTACTTGGTGTTCTCCTTAGGTTGCATTTTAATTTTTCCTCTCCTGTAATAAATACTCTTGGATTGTTAGTGGTATTGCAAGTTTGTTTTTTGTTTTTGTTTTTGATTTTGTGACCTTAAGGGAAATGGAAAATTTAAATTTTTAATTTTACTTTGAAAGATGATTTTTAGAAACTGTTAGCATATAGTATTAGTTCTCTGATTTTTTTTTTAAATTAATTTGAATTTTGAGGAAAATTTGGAGCCTGAATTTTAAAGGCTCGTACGTGGTCATTTCTTTCATATACCCAAGGATGTCATCCCAAATATTTGCTTCTACCTAGGGCTCTTTCCTGTCACAGTGGAATGTTTGTGAGCCGCAGCTTTGGCTTAGGGTATTGTGTTCTTTTTTTATTGTGTTCTTCTGGTTGCACAAACCTCTTTTCATGGAACACTGAAGACAAAAAAAGAATTGCTTGATGCATTCATTTTATCTTCCTTCTTTTTAGGAGTTATGTCTTCCTAGTGGATGGTTTGGTATGGCTGTGTTAGTTTGTTTTAATGGTGATATAATGTGTGTGGGTGTGCACTTAGAGAAAGTTAGAGATAACAAATGAGTTTGAGAGTCTTCAGAAAGTACATCTTATTTTGTTAGAAAAGTAACCATTTCACTCATGGAAAGGGTAGAGTTTATGAAATGGTTAAATTTCTGTCTTTATTCTAAATGGGAGTACTGAAGAGTAGACTTACACTTTTTTCTTTGTTTTATTTTTAAAGTAAATCTTTGGCTACTATAGTGTTCCTTGTCTAGATTGTTCTAGCATGCCATGTTAAATTGGTTCAGAACTAATAATCCTTTTTGTCTTTCCCTTCTAGAATGCTAAAAGATGACTTAAAACTCAGCAGCAGTGAGGACAGTGATGGCGAACAGGTATGTTTATGATATTTTTGCCAGTATCATCTAGTATTTGTGTGGGTTTTTTTTGGTATAATTGACTTAATACTTAGTGATCAGTTATTTAAAATGAATTTCTTCTTATAGGCTTTCTGACAATCAAATGTTGTTTTTGTGCTCTGTTTCAGCCTCCATTTTTTATTACTTTTACAGTACTGACTTTGCTTTCGTATTTGTTATGAATTAGAGGATATTCACGAAGCAGATTATTGATAAGAACTCTTAATAAAACATTGATGCTTATGCTGGCAATTCTGTTACTCTTTAGATGCATAAAACTGTATATGCTAAGTAAGCCTTGATGCATACATTAGAGAAGTCATTTTGTTCTTCAGAAATTCAGATATTGTTCTCATTAAGCAAACAGAGTACTAGTTATTCATTTACAGATTTACTTCCTATGCTTTCATTTTAGGATTGTGACAAAACAATGCCCAGGAGTACACCCGGAAGGTAGACATTCTTGTGTTTTTTGTTTCATTGAAGGGATAAGGTCAGCCTGGTAACATTGAGGCGATACAATAAGTACCCTTCTAAAATGTGTATTATCAGTTGTCATGGTGTAAATTAAAAATTGTTATATTCTTAAAGTAGATGAATTTTATATATAAGTAGTATCTCAAATTATTTTTAACACTTGCTTTACTTGCTTCATTGTATCTGAGTTCTGGTTTTACAGTCTAAATAGGAGTAAACCTTTTAGGAAGCAGCGCTGTAGTCCAGTGGGTATAATGCCTGAGTCCCAGCATGAGAACTTGGGTTTGATGTCCGTCTCTGAGCTCCAGCCTTCAGCCTTGTGCTGATGCAGATCCCGGGAGGCAGTGGCTCCAGCAACTGACTTCCTACTGTCCTGTGGCAGACTGGCTCCCAGTGTTTGCACTGGCCCAGTTGTGGCTATTGCAGGCATGTGGGGAGTGAACCGAGAGTAGAAACTCCCTTAGAGCTCTGTCTGTTTTTCTACTTCTCCATCTCGCAAATAAATTAAAAAAACAAATTAAATAGCAAATATTTTAAGTAAAGTTGATTGTCAGACATGTTTGTTTTCCTGTTGTCACTATGTATAACATGCTCATTTTTAATCTCTTTTAGTAATTCTGAACCCTCCCATCATAATAGTGAAGGGGCAGATAACTCCAGAGATGATTCTAGCAGCCACAGTGGATCAGAAAGCAGCTCTGGATCTGACTCCGAGAGTGAAAGCAGTTCCAGTGACAGTGAGGCGAATGAGCCGTCCCAGAGCGCGTCGCCCGAGGTGAGACAGTTCAGGAGCCACCTTGCTTAGCCCTTGCAGGGAGGCCCTTAGTGACGCTTGCTTTAGATCCCACTCCTGTACAGGAGGGGAAGCAAAGGAGGTTACATATTCCAAAGAAAGAAAATTGAGTCGTGGCATTTTAGAAAAAACCTAGGTACTTTACTTTCAGTTTTCTTTGAATAGTCATTTGGTCTAGATTAGGGACTGCTTGCAAGTTATTAAGCTACTGAATTCACTTTTGTATTGCAGCAGGGTAACTCGTGTTGTAGTAACTGTGGATAAAATAAGTCATGTTAATTTCACTGTGGCTCAATAAAATGCAGATAAAAATCTTGCCACATACACTATTTGTTTACTTTCTAGAAATAAGTATACTTGATGGTAATTTGTCATAATGCCTTGAAAGTTGGATTCCTAGCAGTATTATTTGCTATTTGAAGGTCACACTTGGGGAACTTCGAGTCATTCACAGGAAATGTGTTTTCTGCACAGATAGGAAAAATGTTTGCACCATAATAACTGACCTTTTAATATTATTTTCCATATGTAACACTAAGTTTGTGTTTTGACTCAATGTTTAAAGCTGATAGTATTCAGCTGTATGGGTTTTGCTCAGTCAGAACTAGGAAAAGCAGATACTTTTATTGTTTTAGGCATTGTGTCTTCCTCTTCCTGTGACTGAAGGAGACAAAAAGTCCCAGCATTGAAAAAGCGTATATATTTTGGTTTTTCAGCCTGAACCACCACCAACAAACAAATGGCAGCTTGATAATTGGTTGAATAAAGTGAACCCCCATAAAGTGTCTCCAGCATCTTCTGTGGATAGTAACATCCCATCATCTCAAGGCTACAAAAAGGAGAGCCGAGATCAGGGCCCTGGGAGTGGCTACACTGACACCAGCGCGCCGAAAGAGACGAGTTCTGCTACTCCCGGGCGGGACTCCAAAACCATCCAGAAGGGGTCAGAGAGTGGGCGCGGCAGGCAGAAGTCTCCTGCACAGGGTGACAGCACAACACAGAGGAGAACTGTAGGCAAAAAGCAACCTAAAAAGGCTGAGAAGGCAGCTGTTGAAGAACCCCGAGGAGGCCTGAAGATAGAGAGTGAGACCCCGGTGGACATGGCTGCCAGCCTGCCGTCCAGCAGGCACAAAGCAGCCACCAAGGGCTCAAGGAAACCCAATATAAAGAAGGAGTCTAAATCTTCCCCTCGGCCTCCAGCAGAGAAAAAGAAATACAAGACGGCAAGTAAATCTTCCCAGAAATCCCGGGAAATCATAGAGACAGATACCTCATCCTCGGATTCAGATGAAAGTGAGAGCCTGCCTCCTTCCTCGCAGACGCCCAAGTACCCTGACAGCAGCAGGACTCCAGTGAAACCCTCCTCAGTGGAGGAAGAAGATAGCTTTTTTAGGAACCGAATGTTCTCTCCTATGGAAGAGAAGGAACTTCTGTCACCCCTCAGTGAGCCTGATGACAGGTATCCTCTTATTGTGAAGATTGACCTGAATCTCTTGACTAGAATACCAGGGAAGCCTTACAAAGAAACAGAGCCACCCAAGGGGGAGAAGAAAAATGTGCCAGAGAAGCACACACGGGAGGCCCAGAAGCAAACCTCAGAGAAGGGCTCCAACAAGGGCAAGAGGAAACACAAGGTATGTGGAGAGCTTTTGTTGTTAACATCATACTTTTTTTTTTTGAGAGAGAGAGAGTGTGTGCAATAGAGAACTCCCGCTTGTTGCTTCACTCCACCAGATACCTGCAATTGCCGAGTCTAGACTAGGCCAACCCTTGGAGGTCTCTGGCCAGGATGGCAGGAAGCCTGCGGCTTGAGCCATCACTCCTGTTTCCTGGGATCTGCAGTCACAAGAAGCTGGAGTTAGGATGTCCAACACCGTTGCACTGGCAGGGGACACAGGCTTGGAGATGGCTAAGCCAAGGCCTGTCTTTCTGCTGTTTTTTTTTTTGAACAACATGATTTGAAATGCTAGGAGGATCTCAGTAAGCCACAGATTGATAAATTGGCTCAAGGCTGTGAAGGAAAGCGTGAATCGCAGGCCAGCTATGGGGCAGTCTGTTGGACCCCTGTGCAAAGCAGCATAGTTTACATCAAGTGAATTTGAAATATGTGTTGGCCAATGTAGAAGTGACATTAGAAGAAAGAGTGCTAACTGACCTTGCAACAGTCTTAAAATCTTGTTTATAGATGGTTTTTTTAAAATTAGGGTGTATGCTTCTTCCCTCTGGGATGTCACAATTTTCTACTATTTTCTGGATTTGTTTGTTTGTTTTAGTTTTATTCATTTGAAAAGGAGGAAAGATAACTCCTGTCCACTGATTTCTTCCCCAAGTGCCTGCCATGATCATGGCTCATCCAGCCGGAGCCAGGAGTCGGGACCTCAATCCAGGTCCTCCAGCTGGGTGGCAGGAGTGAGACCACTGAGTCAGGACCTGATGCCTCCCATGTTGGTCAGCGGCAGGACGCTGGAACCTGAAATGGAGCAAGGCACTCAGTCATGAAACATAGGTGTCCCAGCCTTGACCCCCGCTGCTTAGCCAAACACCTGCCCCTGGCTTGCTTTTTTATCTTACACCTGATTTAATTGGGAAGTCACATATACAAAAGGGAGGAGAGATAGAGAGGAAAATCTTCTATCCATTGATTCACTCTGCAAACAACTCCCCACCAACAGCCAGAGCTGAGCCGATCCGGAACCAGGAAACAGGAGCTTCTTCCTGGTCTCCAACCTGGGTGCAGGGTCCCAAGGCTTTAGGCCATCCTCGACTGCCTTCCAGGCCTCTAGCAGGGAGCTGGATGGGAAGCGGGGCTTCCAGGATTGGAACCAGCGCCCATATGGGATCCCAGCATGTGTAAATTGAGGACTTTAACTGCTAGGCCACTGCACCAGGCCCAGATTTTTTTTTTTTCTTTAACTAGTTCTAGCTAAAATTGATTCACTAGTTTTGACATGTTTAACAATTTAATGACCACCTTGTACATGTTTGTGCCCTATTTTTTATTAAATAGAAATTAGAAATAAAAATATCTACTGGTACATAGATGACCCTCATCTCTACATGTTTCCAAAATAGTTTGGAGGAAATGCTTGATATATATTTACAGTCAGTTTATTGTAGTCACAGGAAATGTAAAAATCATCAAACAGTAATAGTCATGGAAGGAAAAGACAAGTCAATTACACAGCAGTGACTGCATTGGGGAGGGGCAGCTTTTGAGCTCTTTTCTTGTGCAGGGAAGAATTTTTAAGGAAAAGAAAACTTTTCACAATAGTCTGTGCTGAAGAATGATTCCCTCATCCGCATCTGTGAATGTGATTGTAAAAGGCTGAAAGTTGAACTTCAGCAAGTAAAAGACAAGGACCAGAATGGCCTTATCAATAAAGCCAGGATACAAACCCCACTCAGGCTGAGCTGAGAACAGAGAACACATCCTTAAATACAGTCAGCCAGAGACGTTTTTCTGCCCTTTTATTAAAACCGCAGTGCAGGTACCAGGTATTCCAACAAAGGAGAATAATTTGCCCCATTGCTTCCTTTTCTTTCTTTTTTTTTTTAACTTAATGGAGTTAAATTGTTCATCTTACTTGAATTTCTAGAAAAGTGAAGCAACTGTTCTATAATATGTAAGTTGGCCTTTCAACTAAACAGTTAATTTTTTTTAAGATTTATTTATTTTTATTGGAAAGGCGGATATACAGACAAGATGAGAGACAGAGAGGAAGATCTTCCGTCCGATGATTCACTCCCCAAGTGCCATCAACGGCCGGTGCTGAGCTGTTCCCAAGAGAGGAGCCCAGATCCTCTTCCGGGTCTCCCACGCGGGTGCAGGGTCCCAAAGCTTTGGGCCGTCCTCGACTGCTTTCCCAGGCCACAAGCAGGGAGCTGGAAGGGAAGTGGAGCTGCCGGGATTAGAACCGGCGCCCATATGGGATCTTAGCGCATTCAAAGCGAGGACTTTAGCCACTGAGCCACAGCACCGAGACCTAAATAAATCTTTAAAAAGATTATTATGCAAAATGAAAAGAACCACCTAGAAATGCCACACATGTTTTATGATCCATTTAGAGGAAATGGCTAGAATAAGCTGTCCATGGAGACAGGCTGTGTGGTGACTGCAGGACTTGGGGAGAGCAGAATGAAGAATGACTGTTAATGGGTATAGGATGTCTTTTTTTGGATGATGGGAATGTTCTACAACTGATTATGGTGATAGTTGTACAGTTGTGTGCATGTACTAATGCTATGGAATGGTGCTTTTGTACACAGTGAATTTTATGGTGTATGAGTTGTATTTTCATTTTATTTTTGTGACTATCACCCATCCCCAAAGTCATTGTATTACCATCTAAATACTGAAAGCTTGTTGCAGTATTTGTGTTGTGTAGATCTACAACAGAAGACTACTTTTCAACCTCAAAACCAGATGTAGGGCCTGGCATTTCTGCACCTGTGATGGCAGCTTCCGGTGTGGTCACTAGTTGGTGTCTCAGCTGTGCCAGTCACATCTGGCTCTCCAGAAGATCCCTGCCACCTAAAGGGAGTACAGTTCCAGGTTCCTGGCTTCAGCCTTGCCCAGTTCTGGCTGTTACCGCCATTTTTCAGAGCGAACCCGCAGATGAGCAATCTGTCTCTTTATGTTTATCCTTTGCTCGCTATGATTCTGCCTTTCAAATAAACCATTTTTTTTTAATGTCATGTTTAGGGCCCGGTGCAATAGCATAATGGTTAAAGTCCTTGCCTTGAAAGCGCGGGGATCCCATATGGGCACCATTTCTTTTTTTTTTTTTTTTTTTTTAAAGATTGATTTATTTATTGGAAAGTCAGATGTGCAGAGAGGAGGAGAGACAGAGAGGAAGATCTTCCATCTACTGAGTCACTCCCCAAGTGACCACAACAGCCGATGCTATGCCAGTCTGAAGCCAGGATCCGGGAACTTCTTCCAGGTCTCCCACACGGGTGCAGGGTCCCAAAGCCTCAGGCCATCCTCAGCTGCTTTCCCAGGCTACAAGCAGGGAGCTGGATGGGAAATGGAGCTGCCGGGATTAGAACCGACGCCCATGTGGGATCCCGGCGTGTTCAAGGCGAGGACTTTAGCCGCTAGGCCACCATGCCGGGCCCATGGGCACCATTTCTAATTGCGGCAGTCCTGCTCCACTTTCCATCCAGCTCCCTGCCTGTGGCCCAGGAAAGCAGTTGAGGACGGCCCAGAGCCTTGGGACCCTGCACCCGCGTGTGAGAACCAGAAGAAGCTCCTGGCTTCTGGCTTTGGATTGGCTCAACTCCAGTGGTTGAGGTTACTTGGGGGAGTGAATCATTTAACAGAAGATCTTCCTCTCTGTCTCTCCTCCTCTCTGTATATCTGCCTTTGCAATAAAAGTAAATAAATCTTTAAAGAAAATACTAAATTGACAGAAAATTGCATACATGAGCTCTTGGATGTCTCTTTAGTATTATCTTTAAAAACAAGGAGGGAGCCTTGATTGATTTGAAAAGCAGAACAACAGAGTTATGGAAAGACAGAGGCAAGGAAAAGAGATCTTCCGTTTGCTGGCTCACTTCCCAAATGGCAGCAGGTGCAAGTTTTAGCCAAGGCCAAAGCCACAGGCAAGGAACTTGTCCCACCTTGGTGGCGTGGGTCAAGCACCTGGGCACTGTATTGACTAAGTGCCTTAGCAGAAGCTGGAGTAGCCAGGGCTTGAACTGGCAACTGATAGGGAATAATCATGTCCCAAGTGGCAGCTTACCACACTGTGCCACATGCTGGCTCCCCATTGGTCTTACTTCTGACATTTCTCTGTGATAAATGGTCTGAGAATGACAGTACCGGATGTTGAAGTTAGATGAATGAAAATTTTCTGTTTCCCATCCAGAGTGATGATGATAACCGAGCCAATGAGAGCAAGAAACCTAAAACAGAAGATAAGAATTCAACAAGCCACAAGCCATCCAGCAACAGAGAGTATGTCCCCCAAACACGCCACATATCAGTGTTGTTAGCATGTCTGTTTTGGTGATGGGTTCTTTCTAATGTTTTCTGAGTGTGTTCCTTGTAGTAAGTTTGTATCATATACAAGTACTCCTCACATACTGGGAGATTCTGATTTTTAAGTAATAGAAAGCATTTGAGATTGGATTACTGCTTCCTCGTAATGGTTCCGAGGTAATTATAGAGTGATAAACTTGTGTGGCACCCTGTCTGTAATTGCTGGCTCAGAAATGTTGATTTCTCCATTCATGACTGGTGTGTCCATCCATTCAGCCAATATGTACTGAGTGCCTAGTGGGCCATTTCAGGCATCAGCCGTGCAGCTATGGAGAGAACTTGACAAGAGTCCCAATTCTGCAGAGTTGAGCCTTGTTTTGTAGAAATAAATGTGCGCTGGTAATCAACTGTGGGAGTAACCTCCTTGTCCTGAAAGCGGGCAATGAGAAGCAGAAGGTTCTATCAACCTGTACCAGTGTATGGAGCAATGAGAATTTTTTGGTTTGGTTTGGTAGGTCATCTAAGCAAAGTGCTGCGAAAGAAAAGGACTTGTTGCCTTCCCCTGCTGGGCCTGTGCCTTCGAAAGATCCCAAATCAGAGCACAGCTCTCGGAAGAGGACTATCAGTCAGTCTTCGTCCCTCAAGTCCAGCAGCAACAGCCACAAGGAGAACAGTGGCAGCAGCAAGAGCAGCTCCTCCACGTCAAAGCAGAAGAAGACTGAAGGGAAGACTTCCAGCAGCTCCAAGGAGGTGAAGGTACGGTGCTGGCGTCTGCCCTCCGACCCCCGGGCACACCAGCATCCCCCAGGAGTGCCACTTCGAGTCCTGGCTGCTCTGCTTCCCATCCAGCTGTTTTCTATAGTTGTAGAAGGTCATCCCTTGGGGTCCCTGCTCCCCTCAACAAAAGACCTGGATGGAACCCCGGGCTCCTGGCCGCCTCCTGGTTCGGCTGCAGTTGTGCAGCCGCTGGGGAGTAAACAAGTATGTGGAAAACCTCTGCCTCTCTGACTTTCCAATAAAAGTAAATAAACCTCTTTTAAAAGAAATATTAACATAGAAACCCAATATTGATTACATTAATTATACAAGTTTTTGATTCTAAGTTTTAGTTATTTCTACTTGAAAAGCAGAGAGATAGAGTGACATACCAAGTGAGAGAAATCTGTCTTTTGATTGACTCTGCAAATGCTTGTCATAGCTAAGTCTGGTCTATGCAGGGTGAGTTGGGCCATCACTTGCTGACTCCCAGGAGGGACCTGGACCAGAGCAGAGCAAAGACTGAAACCAAGCACTGTGGATGAGGTGGCTGTGTCCCGAGCTGCATCTTAACCACTGAGCCAATTGCTTACCATGCGGGTTTTTAAAATAATCTTTAAATGACTCTGATTGTTGAAGTTTGAAACGAGCTTTAGGTTTTATACAATTAGACTGTAGGAACAAGTTTTATAATAAGAAATGACAAAGCAACTATTTTGCCTAGACTCATGAAATAGAGAAAAATCTTTTCAGTTTAGCTTTGAAATTATTCCTCGTTGTTATAGCGTGCTCATTATGCTGGGAAATAGTCTCCACATTTATCAGTGGAGATCTGAATCAGAGTAACATCCTCAGTTCTGTACTTTAATAGACTACTACATTGTTGGCATTGTTTTTAAATTATTGTAATTAGAACTCCATGAAATCAGAGCATGCAATGAAATTTAAGAAAATATCCGAATCTTAAAGAACATAGCTTATTTTTGTTTTTCAAAGATTTATTTATTTTTATTGGAAAGTCAGGTATACAGAGAGGAGGAGAGACAGAGAGGAAGATCTTCCATGCGATGATTCGCTCCCCAAGTGACCACAATAGCAGGTGCTGAACTGATCCGAAGCTAAGAGCTTCTGAGTCTCCCACATGGGTGCAGGATACCAAGGTGTTGGGGCTATCCTGGACTGCTTTCCCAGGCCACAAGCAGGGAGCTGGATGGGAAGCAGAGATGCCAGGATTAGAACCAACACCCATATGGAATCCTGGCGCCTGCAAGGTGAGGACTTTAGCTGCTAGGCTACCATGCCGTGCCAATTATTTGTTAGTTAGTAAAGCGAAGATCTCAGAGTTGAATAATTAGAATACTGTGCTGGTGAAGTGGCACTGTGGAGCTAGCTTCCCACATGGTTACCAGTTCCAGTTCTGGCTACTTCACTGCAGATCCAGCTCCCTGTTTAGGGGCTGGGAAAAACAGTGCAGGAAGCCCCAAGTGTTGGGTCCCTGCACTCACATGGAAGAGCTGGAAGAAACTCCTGGCTTCATTCTGACCCAGCTCCAACTGTTGCAGCCCTTTGAGGGTGAGCCAACAGATGAAAGACATTTAAAATATTTTACTTATTTATTTATTTGTTTATTTATTTATTTATTTGAAAATGAGGAAATGAGAGAGCTCTTGCACCTGCCAGAAGCTCCTTCCCGATTTCTCATGTGGGTCACATGGACCCAAACATTGGGGCAGTCTTTACTGCTTTCCCAGGCTGTTAGCAGGGACTGATTGGAAGTGGAGCGACCAGGACAGGAGCTGGTGCCCATATGGGATGCCAACATTGCAGGCAGGAAGCTTTACTTACTATGCCACAATGTTGGCCCTTACATCCAGGCACTTTGGATTCTGTGAAACAGAGGAAAACTATCCTAGAAATGTACCTACCAAAATATAAAATTCAAAAAGCTACTTCATAAACTCAAAATTTTTTCCCTAAAAAAAAAGTTGGAATTTCCTCTGATCTCTAAATTTTTTCCCTTGAAATAAGGAATGGATGAACTGAAAAGCCAGTCAGAAAAGCCAAAAAATTGAGTGCAGGAGTATTATAAATGAATGTTAAGCTCAAGTTGTAAGACACTATTTGTCAGGTTTATGTCGGTACAACAGCCATAAAAGACATGCTGTAGTACTTTCCTTCCTTCCTTCCTTCCTTCCTTCCTTCCTTTTTGGTACGTAAATATTTTTCATCTTATGAAAGAGTTGAGGGAGGGCAGTTGGGTCTGTGGATACACTGGGGTGGACTTTGCCAGCCAGTACACATTGGAGGGATTTTCTAAGCCTTGGAGCAGTGAGAACCATGGTATCTGGGCTCTCCAAGCCACTCAGGTGTGACCCTTGGTGCACTCTGCTCTACATCTGGGTCTCCAGGGCTTCATCTGTTCCCAGGTGCTGGAGTGGTTTGACACCAAGGAACAACCCTCTCCCCATCCTGGATGCAGGAGAGGAAAGACATTGGGGGAAAAAAAGGGGTCCTCCCCACTCTGATCAGAGGCTCACATACATGTGCATCCTTCTCAATTGTACAAATATTAAAAATAAATTTTAAACAATGGACATAAAAGGCCATGTTGACAGGGAGAAGAATATTCATGCTGTTGAGAGGATAAATTTTAAGAAGGCTGGGCCCAGCGCCGTGGCCTAGTGGCTAAAGTCCTTGTCTTGAATGTGCCAAGATCCTGTATGGGCGCCGGTTCTAATCCCGGCAGCTCCACTTCCCATCCAGCTCCCTGCTTGTGACCTGGGAAAGCAGTTGAGGACGGCCCAAACCTGGGGACCTTACACCCACATGGGAGATGTGGAGGAAGTTCTTGGCTCCTGGTTTTGGATCAGCATAGCACCAGCCGTTGACAGCACCTGGGGAGTGAATCATCAGATGAAAGATCTTCCTCTCTGTCTCTTCTCTTCTCTGTATTATCTACCTTTCCAATAAAAATAGATAAATCTTAAAAAAAAAAAACTTTTAAAAAAATTTTAAGAAGGTGGTTAAATTTTTTAAATTAAGCAGATCTAGATATCATATTAAAAATTCTAACAATGCCATTTAAAAGTTGTTTGACCTAGGGTAAATTACTAAACTTTCTTGACATTACCTTTTTTTAATTTAATATAATAGCAGTACTTAGGATTGTTGGAGGGTTAATGAGTTTATGAAGTGCTTTGACAGTGCCAAGGATGTAGTAAGCACAGGATGCCTGTATTACTTCATCAGTCAGTAGTGACCGATCAATTTTGCCATAAGTCGGATTGCCATTTCGAAGTTGGTTTTCTGTTTCTGTTTTAACAAGTACATAAACCTATGCCTGGCACATAGTAGTCCCTTCCTCAATAAGAGAATGTTTTGGTTATAACCTGTTCTGTGGAAAATAGTTGACATGAAAAGCTAATACAAGTTTTAAAGCAAGAAAATTGATTACCAAAGGCAATGGAATTTTTTTAACCAGTGGCTGGAGATACACTATAAGTTTACTTTTTAATCTCTCAGTTTTCAATGTGGTTATATATTTTGTCGGTCAGGAAAAGGCTCCAAATAGTGCCTCTAACTGTCCTCCGTCTACACCGACTCCTGACACGTCTAAGCCTCGGAGAACAAAGCTTGCCTTTGATGACAGGTGAGAGCAATATGATTGTTTTATTTCCTAAGGAAATCATTCCAGCAAATCAAACGTTCATTTTAATTTCTATCAACAGCCAGGATTCATGTGTGAACCCTAAAATGTTTGGGTTTTAACTTAAAGGTTCCGACTAGGCCAAGGACTGCTCCTTTAACCTAGCACTGTGATCTGATATGCAGAGTAAATGTTCTCTCCTGGAAGGCTTGGCTGCTGCTGGCGCCACTGCCTAGGCTGGAGATTGTCTTGTAGAAGGAAGAGCAGTGTTTTTGTAATGTGGATTTTTCACCCCTACTTTGATAAAAGATTTTCTCCTGCTCACATCTTTTCTGTTAATTTTTCAAGCAAGTTAAAAAAATAAGTAATAAATACTTAGGAGCTTGGTTTGTCATGATTTGGCCAAAAGGATTCATGTTCATAATCCAATCAATACATTTTTGAGAAAATAAGTGAGATAATTGCCTAATAAAAGCTTAGTTTCTGTACTTTTGGACAGCAAAACTGAAAATATAGCACAATTATGTTACCCTGTGAGTTACACTGAAAATTTCCATTGCAGAAGTTACTCAGCCGACCACTATTTACAAGAAGCAAAGAAGCTAAAGCACAATGCAGATGCATTGGTATGTCAAGATTGTCCTCACAGTTTGTATTAATCAGCCTAACTTTACTTCATTTGTTGCTTGTGCTTGTTGTAAATCCCTACTCACTGTTTTATTCTCATTTCTGCAGTCGGATAGGTTTGAGAAAGCCGTGTACTATCTTGATGCTGTGGTGTCTTTTATTGAATGTGGGAACGCGTTGGAGAAGAATGCTCAGGAATCCAAATCCCCGTTTCCTATGTATTCAGAGACAGTGGAACTCATCAAGTAAGTGGAGAATTGCATTGTGTCCTTGGCAGTGCGGTGTCCCAGCCTGTCTGGGAAGGAGCTGACATCACAGTGAACTCAGTGGGGTGCTTACTGCCTTATTTCCCTTGGATAGGGGGCGCTAGGTGATCGAGTTGGTGTTTTTGCCTCTGTGTTTGGTTTTGGTTCTTGAAGGACAACAGAAGCTGTGAGATTGAGTTGAGAATGTATGTTGTGTTAGACACGTATCTGTTGTTGCTCACTCACAGGTACACTATGAAGCTGAAGAGTTACCTGGCACCAGATGCTACAGCTGCAGACAAAAGGCTCACAGTCCTCTGGTGAGTGTCGCCCTCGCGGCTTCCGCCAGGCCGCCAGCAGCTTCTGATCAACCCTGTGTGCTCTGAGCTGAATGTTAGCCTGGAATCCGAGTTCTGTGACTCTGACCCAGTTCTGAGTCAAGCAGGAAATAACAGTTCCTACTGAGAGGTTGTGAAAGCTTTTAGTTGTCGTCACTCCGACCCCTCGCCTCTATGGGGTGAGGCTTTACTAGGGCACTCCATTCTTCCTTTTTTTTTTTTTAATTTTTTGGGTTTTTTGACAATTTTTACATGGTTAATTAGGGCACAAAGGTTCAAGGGCTTCAGGAAATTGGGTAAGACTATTATTTCCACATTCTCTCTCTTTTTTTTTTTTTTTTCCTGTGCCTAGGATAAAGGAAGTCGCCCCACCTGGCCTCCCACCAACACCAGGTCCCTGATGTGGGGCATGCTCCAAGGGTCTTGCTCAAGTGGTTTTGATAGTTCAGCAGCTATGAATTGCTGCCAATCTGGCCATTCCAAGCACGATAAAGTCATTGCAGAATCCACTGATTGACATAGTCCATCCTTAGAGTTTCCATTTGTCTGTTTTTTTCACTGTCAACATATGGGTAGAGTAGTTGATTGGTTTGTTCTATCCTCTCTTGTGGTGTCAGGTAGCCTTTGCAGGTTCCGATGGGCTAGGGCACCCCATTCTTTGTAAATGGCAGTTTTTCCAGAATGTTCTGGGTTGTGTTTTTATTCATTTTATTTATTTGAAAAGCACGGAGTCAGAAAGATCTTGCATCTACTGACTCATTGCCCAAAGAGCTGACCAGGCCAGGCCAAAGCTGGAAGGTGAGAACTCAGTCTCCAGTGTAGGTGACAGGGACCCGAGGACTTGCATTCTGAGCCGCTGCCTTCCGAGGTATACATTAGCAGGAAGCTGGGCTGGGAACTGGAGCCGAGACTCCAACACAGGCACTTGGCTACTGGAAGTGGTTGTTTCAAATGACATCTTCGTCACCAAGGCAAAGGCATGCCCTCTCCCCCCACTGTTTTAAGTACCTCTCCTCTCCTTTTACAAATGTACCTTGTTTGGGGAACAGCCTCTAGCTTGCGCCGAATACAGAAAGCATTATTTTGTTATTATTTATTATTATTTTTTTTTTGCTTAGTCCCAAAATAAATGAGACAAATAGATGAGTTTAATTATTAGTAGACATTTTCTTGGCCTGGTCCCATGTTTAAAGTGGGGAACACAACTATGAATAAAACTGACAACAGTCCTGTTTGTCATGGAGTTTATTGTTATAATGTAAAAACAGCAAGTGTCAAATACTCATTCAGCTGTGTGAGTGAAATCCATTGAAAGGAAAGTCAGCGCAGCCCTGAGTCTGAGAAGCAAGAATGGGAGCAGACATTAGGTCGGTGCTGAAGACACCCACAGCCCACATCCGAGTGCCTGGGTTCCTGTCCCAGCTCCCAGAGCCTGCTTCCTGCCAATGTGCTCCCCCAGGCACAGTGACAGTGACCCTCCTGAGAGTTCCTGACACCAGCCTTCCAGCGGTCTCGCTTCTGGATTCCCCTGCCCACCTTGTTCCTGCTGCTGCTCTGGGCATTCAGAGCGTGCACCAACAGGCAGGCAGTCTCTCTCTCTCTCTCTCTCTCTCTCTCTCTCTCTCTCTCTCTCTCTCTCGTCCTGCCTCTCAATTTTAAGATTTATTTTTATTTATTTGAAAATTAGTTACAGAGAAGTAGGAGAGACAAAGAGGTCCTCCAGCCATTGGTTTATTCCTCAAAGGCTGCAACAGCCAGAACTGGGCCAAGCCAAAGCCCAGAGTCATGAAGTGAATTGGAAATGGAGCAACCAGGATTGGAACCACAGCCCATGTGGGATGACAGCATTGTAGGCGAAGTGAAGGGGCCTACTTCACTGTGCCACACACTGATCCCTAAATATGTATATATTTTAAAAAGATAAAGACTTGGAGACAAGAAGACCTACTAGGCAGAGGACACAGAGGGATGGCAAGAAGCATGCGCATCGGAGACACTGAGCGAAGAGCATGACTGGCTGGGGCAGGGTGATCATGCTGGACCCCTGTGCTGCGTGGTCAGATTTTTGCAGTGTTGGAGTTATGTTGTTCATAGTTGAGTGTCCAAAGTTGTTAGCATTTGTTGTTGTTGGTTTTTTTTAGCTTCAGATTATTTGTAATTTGATTTGGAGGTTCTTTACCTTAACAGTTTCATTTTATATTTCATTTTTCTTTCTTTTTTCTCTGTTTTTTCTTTCCTTCCTTATTTGTTTAAAAGATATGATCAGAAAGGAAGGGAAAGAGAAATTGATCTTCCCTCCTCTGGCTTACTTATCAAATAGCTGCAATGGCTGAAGGTAAGCTGAGCCAGAAACCAGGATGTTCTTCTGAGTCTCCCACACAGGTGCACGGTCCCAAAAACTTGGGCCATTCTCCATTGCCTTCCCAGTCCACAAGCAAGGAGCTGGATGGGAAGTGGAGCAGCTAGGACATGAAGCAGCATCAATGTGGGATCCTGGCACTTGGAGGTGGAGGGTTAGCCAGTTGAGCCATTGTCCAGCCCCTCAATCATTTGTTTCAGTGCAAGCATTACTTGGATACATTGGATGAATGAGCTTTTGATTTTGAATAGCAGCAAATGATGAGAGTTAGTGCTGAATTTTAGACATTCCCATCCCCCACCCCAGGATTTATACCACAATTACAGCACATTTTTTGGTTTTGTTTCAGGGTGAATGTTATTCACCTTAAGCCAGTGTTTGTTATCATGCACTAGTCTTGTACTCTTACTAAATGCAAAGATTGCCTGTGCCGATATGACCAGCTGTCCTGCTTAAACAAACTGCCCTTTTCCATTTGCCAGCCTGCGCTGCCAGTCTCTGCTGTACCTGAGGCTGTTTAAGCTGAAGAAGGAAAATGCTCTGAAATACTCGAAGACACTCACGGAGCACCTAAAGGTCAGTGCGCCAGGGGACCATTCTGTTCCCCGGAGGCAGAGTTTGCAGGCTCTCATTGCCAGCCCAGAACTGCCCTGTGTTTAGGTAAGATAGCAGGACAGGGGCCACTGTGTGGGCGCTTTTAGATAGGTTTGAGATTTCTTGGGGTGTATCTAGATGCACATATAGCTCCTTGTAGAATTTCAGCAGTTGTATGTACTTCAATAGCAATCTCTTCCTTTTTTAAAATATGTATTTGTTTTTATTGGAAAGTACATTTACACACAGAGAGAGACCTCCCTTTCATTGGTTTGTTCCCCAAATGGCCTCAAGAGCCGGAGCTGAGCCAATCTAAAGCCAGGAGCCAGGAGTATCTTCCTGTCTGCTGTACAGATGCAGGGTCCCAAGGCTTTGGGCCATCCTTTCCCAGGCCACGAGAAGCAAGTTGGATGGGAAGTGAAACAGCCAGGACATGAACCAGCACCCATATGGGATGCTGGCATTTGCAGGCAGAGGATTAGCAGTTGAACCATTGTGCCTGACATACCCTCCCACCCCCCGCCAATTAATGACATTTTGTTTACACAGCCATTCTTTAGACTGTTGTCTTAGCTTCCTAAAACATCTTTGTGCTTTTTCAAATCAGTACTACATAAATCCTCCTAGAATCTTTCTGTGATTACTTGGAACCCCTCAGTAGGTTAGCCAGAGCCTACAGCCTCAATCCAAACTCTTAACCCTGGTCTGTAAGTCCCTTACGGTCTTGTGTTTCTTGTTCAAACCTGTTTTACGTACATTATATGGGTCATGTACATTCTTGGTACATAGTATGACTCGGCCCTCTGCCCTCCCGGCTCCATGTTATCTGTCTGGATGTGACTCATTCTTTCCTTGCCGACTGTGAAGTCTTCCAGATCCCAGCTCTCACCTAGTAACTTCTTTCTGTTGTGTATTCACAAATGCACACACGTAGGCTTCGGTATCTTAAATTTATAAAGCCTAACACCAGCTCTGGCTCAGAGCCAGAGTTGGGTGTATCTAGTACTTTTTAAGTAATAAGGGTTTTTTCAAGTACATTTTCTTTTTCCACAGAATTCCTACAATAATTCTCAAGCACCATCCCCCGGTTTGGGAAGGTAGGTATAATTTTATCCGACAAAGCATGATTTGTGACAAGTTTATTTGTAATGTAAAAGCGGGATGGATAGGGTCCAGCTCTCAAAACTGGGAAAAAATTACTACTTTAAAAATGAAAACCATTTCTAATAAAGTAAGAGTTGATAAGAGAAATCATCCTGAAAGATTAAAGATGGGATATTTTTACTTGGGGAAATTTTGAGTTTTTCGCTGCACCTCAGCTCTTCTCTCAGTTGATTCCCATGACGTGAATTTGCCACAGTGGGCTCATCTTCCTCGGGTCTTGGCATCACCAGCATCTGTTAGTGGCATAGTTGCGGTTTGTCCCCCAGCCCCACTTCACTCCCTCACCCAGAGGGAGGGAAATAAACACGAAGTCTCTTTTCTTTAGTAGTTTTATTCTTTATTCGGTTCATTTATTCTTGAAAGAACTGACGTTCTGCATACTTGTACCTTTTGTCACCTCTGAATAATTGAGCTGACCCGGAAAAGTGCAGTATTTGTAGGATTCAAAGCAATATGAACAAGAGGCCATCGCAAGCCTGCCTAGGTGGGGACTTGTGCTGGGCCAGAGAGAGGGCACGCGGCTTCGAAGCCCTTGAGCCGCCGCTAGCAGGGTGTGTTGCGTCTTCAATTGACCATCTCCTGTTCTGATGTTATTCATTATAACAAAGGATCTAGAGGATTATAATTAAACATAGTGACCTTTAGTGGGAGAAATTGTGCTTCTGAAGTTCCTTCTAGTTAAAAGAATCCAATTGTCAAAGACTTCATGTGGCGTCCGTCGGGAGTGTGTTGATTGAGAAGGCTCACCGCGTCCATGTGAACCTGCCTCCTCTTTCTCTCTGTGCAGCAAAGCTGTTGGGATGCCCTCCCCTGTTTCTCCCAAGCTGTCGCCAGGCAATTCAGGAAGTTACTCCTCTGGGGCCAGTAGTGCTTCAGCAAGTGGCTCGTCAGTGACCATTTCACAGAAGATCCACCAGATGGCAGCCATCTATGTGCAGGTTACATCCAACTTCCTCTATGCCACCGAAATTTGGGACCAAGCTGAACAGCTTTCCAAAGAGCAGAAAGGTGCGTGGGTATGCCAAGGAGGGATGGAGTCGTTCAGAGGGCTGTTCCGTGTTTAAATTGTGGCCTAATTTAGAGCTAACAGTCTAATCAGTTTTCTACTCATCTCCACTAAATCTAATTAATTCTGTTTAAAAATTACAACTCATGACACAGATAACTCACACTAAGTTGTTTTTTGGCCAAAGACAAATAGGCCGCTCTTCTGCCACATTGAAGTGCAGTCTTACTGTAAAAGTGATAAAATTTGTCTTGTGTTTGAGGATGATGGCCTGAAGTTGGTTACAGGCTTAGGCTTACATCTAGTTATCTGTGCACCTGTAATATTTAGTATCCAAGAAAGTACCTAAAACCTTGTATCAAGCCACACAGCTCTGCAGAATACTGAATTAGCCCAGCAATCTGTGCTCTGTTGTCCCAGAGAACATTCACGTACTTCAACTACTGACAGCCAGAAGTAAATCCAAGATTCATATCCTAAAGAGGAATAATGGTGAGAGCAAGATAGAAGACAAACCCCAAATTAAACCTAAAGTTAGGAGTCCGGCAAGGTTGCCGAGTGGCTGAAATCCTCACCTTGGCACATGCCGCAATCCCATATGGGTGCCGGTTTGTGTCCCGGCAGTGACCTGTTCCGACCACTTGGGGAGTGAATCACCGGATAGAAGAGCTTCCTCTCTCTATATCTGACTTTCCAATAAAAATAAACAAATCTTTACAAAAAGAGAAAACTAAAGTTGGGTTTTAAAAAACCTGATTTGGGGCCCGGTATGGTAGTCTAGTGCCTGAAGTCCTCACCTTGCCTGTACCAGGATCCCATATGGGTGCTAGTTTTTGTTTGTTTTGTTTTAAGATTTATTCATCTTTAATGGAAAGTCAGATATACAGAGAAGGGGAGATACAGAGGAAGATCTTCCCTCCATTGATTCACTCCCCAGGTGGCTGCAATGGCTGGAGCTAAGCTGATCCGAAGCCAGGAACCAGGAGCCTCTTCTTGGTCTCCCACGCAGATGCAGGGTCCCAAGGCTTTGGGCCATCTTCCACTTCTTTCCCAAGCCACAAGCAGGGAGCTGGATGGGAAGTGAAGTAGCCAGGATATTTGATCCCAGTATGTTTGTTTGTTTATTTATTTATTTATTTGTTTATTTATTTATTTATTGAAATTTTCTTTATCTTTATTGGAAACTCACAGTTACAGAGAGACAGAGTGATCTTCCATTTTTTTTGTGTGTGTGTGAATTTTTATTATTATTAATCACATTGCATTTTGTGACACTGTTTCATAGGCTCTGGGACTCCCCCAACCGCTCTCCATACCCTCCCCCCATGGTGGATTCCTCCACCTTGGTGCAATATTACAGTTCAAATTCAGTCAAGATTCTTTCATTGCAAGCATAGAGTCCAGCATCTTATTGTACAGATAAATTCAATGGTTTCTTGGAGAGACCATCTCTGGTCTGAAGGCAGAGCTGGCAGAATCCAGTATGTTTTTTCAAGATTGATTTATTTTTACTTGAAAGTCAGAATTACAGATTGAGAGAGAGATTTCTGCTGATTCACTCCCCAAGTAGCCGAGCCAGCCTGAAGCCAGGAACCAGGAGCCTCCTCTGGGTTTCCCACATGGGTGCAGGAACCGAAGCATTTGGCCCCCTCTGCTGCATTCCCAGCCATTAGCAGGGAGCTGACTCGGAAGTGGAGTCGCCGGGACTCAAACCTGTACCAATACAGGATGCAGGAGCCACAGGCTGAGGATTCCTAAGTCTGCTATGCCATGGTGACTGCTCCTGTCCACACTGTAACAACAGCTACTGAAGTTAGCCATAACTGCTTTATGTCATGTTGTTCCTGTCTATATCAGTTTTTCTCATTGTGTCAATGCACCTTTAAAAAGTCGTTTGATTTGGTTTGGGCAATGGATGCTGAGAAGCCAGGCCAGAAAATGTGTCAGATTGTGGATTTCATTGATCCTTTCCTCAGGATGCTGCTTAGCTTCCTCTGCCCATTCACTTCCCTTATACAGTAGTTTCCTCTTGAGACTTAATTCAAGTTCAGTGTTTCAGATAAGCGTGCTTCATAGAAGGTGCTCTTGTTTTTAATTAGGAAGCGTGTAGCGAGGCCCCTTTTTGGTGATAATAAGATTGGCCAGTGGATTCAATCTGGTGGTGTCACACTGACGGGTTTGGTGTCACGTTTCATTATTAAACAAGTGATTACACTGGGCTCCAACCTCAGGATACTGTCCTCGCTCTTTCTCTCTCTACCCCACTGGTTTTATATAACGACCTGTAGTTGTTTATGTCGGAAGAATTCCCTTATTTCAATCGCCTGTTTTAAAAAATCATCTGAAAACGTGGCATGTGAGTACTAGTGCTGTGGCACAGTAGGTTAAACTTCCACCTATGGTGCTGGCATTCTATATGGATGCCAGTTCAAGTCTGAGATGCTCCGCTTCCAATCCAGCTCCCTCTTATTGCCTTGGAAAGCAACAGAGGGTGGCTCAGTTCCTTGGGCCCCTGCACACATGTGGGAGAGCTAGAAGCTGCTTGCTTCAGATTGGCTCAGCTCTGGCCCTGCAGTCATTTGGGGAGTGAACCAATGGATGGAAAATAGCTCTCTCTTTTTCTCTGTCTCTTCTTTTCTCTGAAACTCTGCCATTCAATTAAAGCAAATCTTTAAAAAACAAAAGTGGCATTTGTTATGTGAATGGTGTATGCACCTGGTCAGAGCAGGAAAATGACACGTAGATTGTTAGGGCAAATACACCAGAATAATCTTCCTTTTTCTGTCTCGGGCTTTTTTTTTTACACAAAAACAGATCATATTTTGAAGTAATATAATATGTTGTTGCTCTAGGTCTTTATTTAATGGTGTTTGTTGTATATAGTAGCAATCTATAATTTCTGTCAGTAGATTTTGTTTGTGTATAAATCACTTTAATTCCTCACAGTGCATTCTGTGGAAGATGTTGTATAATTAGGAAGCAAATATAACTTCAGAATTTAAGGTAATTTGTTCTAAAAGATAAAAGTAATATTTTAGGATGGGGAGTGATATTTTTTACTTCCCATGAATATTATTTCATGGTCTAGATTCAGAGTTTTAAAGCAGTGATTCAAAAGAATATTACTTAATCAATGTGTTTGTTTCTAGAATTCTTTGCTGAACTGGATAAGGTGATGGGCCCACTCATCTTTAACGCGAGCATCATGACAGATCTGGTCCGTTACACCCGGCAGGGACTGCACTGGCTCCGCCAGGATACCAAGTTGATGTCTTGAACTGAACATATTCTTGATGCCTCTGATTTTTCTCCACAACACTGTGTCACATCACAAAGGAAACTGCCATAACCATGCCACCTAGTTGACACTAAGAATGAGGAACGATTTTCTCCTCCTTGGTCCGTGTGTTGTTTTTAATAACCCAAAACCATCGTTTCAGTTGACCCTTTCAACATGTCCAATGTGAAAAATTATTTAAATGCAGCACAGTTGCAAGATGCTTTATAATAAGATCGAAATACCAGTTGTGATTCATAACTAAGGAAATGAAATTCTATTTATTTTAATTTTTCTAAGTTCCCAGATTGGGGCTTGTTTGAAACGTTAATTATTTCTGCCTATAAATTTACTCTATTGAATATTTAGCATAAATTTAATGTAAACATTTTTATTTATATACTTTGGGAAGTTTGTTACCTAATAATGTCTTTTTGTGGTAGCTCTTCTAAGAGTTAAGAGTTGGTTCATCTAGAACATGGACCTGTGTGTCTATTCCTACTACCTGAATATTATTTCAAATCTTAACTACAATTTTATTATTGTAGAATTGATGCTTAGTATTAAGGATATTATACACATGAAAAATCACTTAAATATGAGATGTCATTCTATGTGGATGTGAAATGAAATGTGTCTGATTTGGTATGCATTACTTCAGAAACTGTGAATGTGTGTTTATAACACTAGAACAATCACAAGGTGTCTAGGACTTGCATTTAATGCATTACAGAAGAGAAAAGGCAGCTTCCCGGGAGAGTGATAGCATACTGAATGGTTTCATAAAAGGACAATCTTGAACTATAGGGGTTTTATTATAAAACCGTGTGTTCTTTTTTGCTGTCAATCATTTGACACTTAATTGAAGCAGAGTAAATTACTATGGGGAAAAAAAGCAAAAGATGGTCCATCTCCTGAGGGTTGTTGCCGGTGTCTCTTGAATTGATATTTGAAGGTTACAAATCTCTCTGCCAGTTTCCTTGTCTCGTACTAGATTGTACTGTTCTGACAAGAGCCTGCGGCGAGTGCTGTGGCGTGGGCTGGAGCTTCGAGGGGTGTGCTTTTGCTGTTCAGCTTACAGTTCTAATGCCCAATGGGGAGATGATGAGTTTTTCTCCTTTTTAAACATATCTTGTATTTACTCCCTTTGTATTGCGAAGGCCCTCATCAATGATGTATGTTTCTGATGGTATCAGAAAATTTGCGCTAGAAAAACACATCACTCGGTTCGTGCTGAGCTCTCTGGGGAAGCAGAGGGAGCAGGGGCCAAGCTTGGGAACCAGCTCTGTAAGAACTGTGTCTCCAGGTTCCTTTCCCTGTCACATGCATGTAGGAATCAAGGGTGACAGATGGACCTTCCATATTTTATTTGTGACACCCCTCTCTTGTCTCGTGTGCCTTAAATCTTACCTTTCAATGAAAACTCTATGGATTGTTTACAGATGAAGTTTTACACTAGAAGCATACCGCCCATACGTAGTTGGTCTTCTATAGTAATATTAAATTCTCTTTCCTTTCAAATCTTCTTTTAGGGCCACATCTGTTTTTCCAGTCAATCTAACGCTTTTGTACATGACTTAGTCTAACTAGTTGGATAATGCTGCTTCAAAAAATAATTTGTCCTTCTTCTCATTCCAAAAATGAATCCGTCCAACCCAGGAGAGAAGGAAAAAAAAAAAAACATGGCCCTACTGCACGTAGATGGTGGCTGAGGCCTGAAATTGGAAAGGGAGAAGATGGGCGGAAAATCTCAACATTCAATGGTGCAGTGAATCTTTTTTTGTCTCCGAGTCTCTTTTACACTTCTTTCTGAAACTAGTGAACTCGCATCGTCCTGTGACCTGCTCTGTACCACGTTTGTTTGTTTTTTTTTTAATGTATCATTAACAGTTGAGATCTGTAAATTATGTTGGATTTAACCTTTTTCTCTTGGAGAAATTGCCTCTTAAATCTTTCTGATTGAACCTTAGTGTGTCCTAGGAACAATTTTTCTTAAGAGGACAACTTCTCCCAGTGCTCAGAATCGTAAATTAGTGAGAAACACCTTGTGAATCCAGTCACGCACGTGCCCTGTCCGTCTGCCGTGTCTGACGCCAAGCCTGCCACTCGCTGTGATGTCTTCGGAATGGAATCCATGCCTGCTGGGCTCCTGGCCTTCTCAGCAGCCGCAGTCAGCAGGAGCCCTCTGCGCCCTGATGTGTTCCGGCTTGCTGTGTGCCCTGACAGGCAACCAGAGCACTTCTCGGGCCCCACTGATGCTTTGTGAAAGCAGTTTCCGGATGTCTTATGGTGCTGCTCCACAGATATATTCTCCTTAAAAGTGTTCATTCTTAGAAAATGAATTGTTCAAGCTTTTCATTGTGGAAGGTTTTTCCCAGCAGGTGGTAATGGGCAATACATCAAAATTGCCTCCCAAACAGCTGAATCTTCACCCTCCTAGTCTGTGGAAATGCTACTTCCTCTCTTGCATGTCTGTCTGCTGCAGCGTTCCGTGTCGTCCTCTGCTCTGGCGCATACTCGGGTCTCCTTAAAGGCGACCACTCCTTCCCCCACAGTACGTGTCCTCCGTGTCTCCTCACCATTTAGAACTCAATTTTGACAAGTGGCAGAAAAACTTTTTGTTCGAGACTGACACTTCATATGTAGAAATTATAGAAATAGCACCTATTTCTACAATTCCTCTGTGGACTGCTCTTGTTAGCCCACACTTGTTTGCCTGGAGGCAGCAGCCCACACCACTGGACCCTTTACAGGCCACCAGCGACCCGCTTGTGGTGGACAAAGCTGTCTCAGCAGCCTTGCCAGGCCTAGCTGCGCAGTGGGGAGCGCGCCCTCCAGGCGATTCAGGCTCCCCCAGCCCAGCCCGAGCTCCAGTCTGCAAAGAGTCCAGCCCTTCCCTTGCCTCAGTGCCACCTTTTCCTGAGCAGGGAGCCAAGAAAGTGACTTTTCGAGCAGTGAGTACTTCCGAGAAATTCATAGTTGTAGTTGCTGAAGAGTGGAGAAGACCAGCCACCACTGATTGCCTTCTCCGGTATCCACGCAGCTTAGGGTGATGATGCACGCCCACGCCCACGCCCACACCTGTCCTTCTAGGGGAGCTCTCACATCAGAGACTCCGCAGGGGCCTGGGCTGCACTTGGAGTGACACACTTGTGGCTTTATTAGATTCACTGTTTCTGTTTTAATTGTTGTTTGTTTCCTTTCATTCACGGTTGAATCAGCTAGCCCAGAAAGCATTTTGTGCAAAATTGACAGAAACTTTGGTACATTAACTCGTAGTGGATGAGCTTGCGTTGCGCAGCAAGAGCCTACAGAAGGCACCTGTTAGGACGGAAGTGCTGGCCCCAGCGGCCAGGGCTCAGTGGAGTCTCAGAGCAGCCGGTGAGCACTCCACAGAGTGATGCTTCGTTGTGCAGGGGAGGGCGCCCGGTGCACTCCTCTCAGCATGAGGGTATGCAATGTTGGATCTTAAGATTATGTACACATACACACTTATATATATATGTATGTATGTATGTATGGAAACATGAAATTAGTTCGTCAAAATGTGTGTGTTTAGTATTTTAGCTTAGTGCAGCTATTTCCACATTATTTATTAAATTGATCTAAGACACTTTCTTGTTGACACCTTGAATTTTAATGTTCAAGGGTGCAATGTGTATTCCTTTAGATTGTTAAAGCTTAATTACTATGATTTGTAGTAAATTAACTTTTAAAATATATTTGAGCCCTTCTGTAGTGTAATAGGGCTCTCATGGGGTGGGGAGGGGGGAAGAATTTTACTTTTCCAATTGCTGTTTGAGCAAAATGGCTTCATTGTGTATGTTGATTTATAGGGGTTTGTGTCTGGTCCCCAGGAACATCATTTGGGGTTGGGGGGGTGACTGTTCTAGAAAGATTGTGATGCCTTGGGTTTAAAAAACAAAAAATCCAAGTGACCTGGGGAGCCAGTGCATTTGAAATCCATACAGACTCGTGTAACTCATCCTCCCAAATGAATGGAACCCAGACTTCAGTGTCACATATCAGTGTGTTGAAGAGGCAACTTTTCTTCCAATAAACTGCATATGGAAGGTTGCTCTTCAGGAAATCAACAGAAAAGCTTGGGTGGCTTGAAATATACAGGGACAAGAGGCCAAATGGGTCAGGTTTGTGAGCATGCTCAGTAATGGAGAATTCTGCTTTGAGACCTTAACCCTAAAACCAAGCGACAGGAAGAGTGCTATCAGTAAAGCGGAAGCTGGTCTTAGTTCCTATTGACATGAACCCTGTGATTAATAGTAAACTCGTCTCCAGAAAAGGGAATACTAAGAATAGCTGTATCTTAATGCAATGTGGTCACAGGATAAGGTGTCTGCGTTGTCTGAAGTCGTATCACTCTTAGGGGCAGCCTAAACCTGTAGCTTCAGACATCGCCATGCAAGGGAGTTGGCTTTGAGGATCGCGAGCGTTGGTCTGTCCTTGCCACCACCGTGCCGCTGAGCATGAACTGCCGCTCTGAGCACAGAGCTTCCTGAACGAGAGCGGGAAAGCTTCTGCCCAGAAACTCCCGTCACCCCGAGTTTGGGTCTTACTGTTTCCGTGTGAGGTGTCCTTGCAGCTTTTAGTCATTGGAGTTTTCTGTGTTCCTTTCTGGAGATGAGCTATTTGAAAATACTGCCTTTCCAATCAGTGCCATGGTTATCTATATTGTTGAGTTTGTTGTTGCTGTTCAAGAAGTGTCCCCTTTATACAACTTTTTGCACGCACCTGGCAAATCACCGACCTGAGCATTCAGCAGTACTGGGGTACGGGGGAGGGGTGTGGGAGGCTCACGGACAGAGCTGGCCCGACTGGCAGTACCTAGAAAGGCACCACCTCGGGAGGGCCGGACGTGGGCTTGGTAAGCACAGGTATGAACATGAAAACTTTCTATCTAGCCTCCGTTTTGAGTGGTTTTAAGAAATTTTGTATATGGAGGGTGGAAATGCTTATATATTTATTAAAAGTTCTTTTATTTGAAATTAAAATTATTTGGTAAATAACGGTTTGATATTTGGGGAGGGTTTTGGAGGGGAAATGACGCCGCTGAGAAATCTTAAAGCCGTTGCTTCTGCAGCAAGGTACTGTTAGTGAGGGGGGTGCCCTTGTTTTGTACAGGACCCAGCTGTTTTTGTTACATTCTTTTATCCCAAATATTAAGGCATCTGACATTCTCAACCAAAATTTCAATTATATACTGTGGGGTTTTTTTTTCTTTGTTGCAATACATTAAAATTTCAGAGGTACTTTGGGGTTCTAAAGCTAGAATTTCTAAGTCAGTATGTGCATTTCACATAATAAAGCTGTTAATGGTGAGCAAAGTATTATAATACTAACTAGATTTTTCCACATCTGTATAGTATATTATATGTATTTTGTGGTATTGAGATTATAGAAAGTTTAGAGTGTCAAACATGCGTTTAATGTGTATTTTTAAACAAATTTATGGCAATTAAAATATTTGGAGACAAGGGTATCACATTTCAATTTGTAAAGATCTTTTTAACTCTACTGTGTCATTAAGATGCTTTGTATAATGCCAAACCATAGCTGGAGAGACTAAGTTTAATAAATATCAAATAGATTTTCTGTATTAAAGTTTGTGTACACTGTGCTCTTTCTCAGCTCTCACTCCGTTTCTGTGCGGTTCCAGTGCTGTATTTCAGCATCCAGTACCTGTGTTCCACAGGAGACCCTGCCAGCTTGGGTCTCACATACCGTGGCCACAGCAATTCTGAACCTGCCAACTGTGCGTCCTCGGGGTATGGATCAAAATTCACCCTGCCCAGGAGAAACCTCAGATATTCTTTGGTGTTCCTAGTTGCCTGGGCCTTTATGAATTCATGAAACTAGATTTTTCTCCCAGTTCTGTCTTAGGTTCATGCAGTCATAGACAAAGTTGGGCCCAACCTGTCTGACATGTCTCTGACAGTTCCTGCAGGAAGGTGAAGGGGCCGGGAGCCAGAGCCACAGGCTGGGGCCTTGCCCAGCGTGATGACACAGCTGCGGCCTGGCTTTGCCCTTAAGCTGCCGTTGTGTTCTCCGTGTGATTCTCGGGGCAGGTTTTTGGGACAGTCATCTCACCACACTCTGCCCCTTTTGTTATCGGACAATGCTGGATTTTTGCTATCATGTACACATTGAATCCTTCAGGAGCTAGGATTTCAGACTTCCAGTTTCAATGAGACATTTAATAATATTTGTAGAAAAATAAACTCTAAAGTGCAAAGCTTATTTAACACTCATCCACACAACAACATTGTAAAAAGAGATGGAGACCAATTTAAAACATCTGTCTTTGAATATTAAAACACCCAGGTTGCTTCACCTGGGGATCTCCCGCCAGAGCATCATTAACCAACATCCCATAGGATGGAGTCTTGTCGGAGGGGACGGCTGGCCTGTTCCCTAGAGTATCCATCATTCCTGGGCCACACTTAGGGAGCAACGTCTTTTTCTAGGGGAAGAGAAAACATTTTTTTTAAGACATGGAGTCTGGAGTGCCCAGAGCACTTCTGCTGGGCTTCATTCCTCTCTGCTCAGTGGATGCAATTGAAGGGGACAGGAGATGGGAACCTCCCACTCTCTGACCGCGCTCCCTTCCCAGCCCTGGTGGAAGCCTCCGTCCTCCCAGTCACTCCTTCCCAGTGTGCCTCACCTGCACAGCCTGGTGATGCATTCGGCACTGTCCCGACACGAGGCTCCAATGGGCCTCAGGGAGACCCCTCTCCAAAACGGGGTCATCCTCCGCAGCCGCCTCTTTGCCAAGCTCAGCTCTGGTACTGGGGAGCCCCCAATCTGTAGAGCAGAAGCAAATTCACCACCTGAGGGGAGGAGCAGGCCATTGCCGAGCTCCTGGGCACTGAAGCAGGGTGCCACTGATCAGCTGCGCTTGAGTTCCACCCCCACTGCCTGCTCCAGCTGGCCCCTGCCTTACCTGGCCCACAAGCAGCAGGCAGATCATGAGCACCGCCAACAGCTTGAGGTGCCACATCTTGCTGAAGGCAGGGTGTGGGCGCCTGAGGACCACGGAGAGTTCCCACTTCCTTTTATAGACTGGTGTCTGCCCTGGCGTGGTTGCCAGGTGAGATGGGGCAAAGTTTCTATTTGTAATCAGGATCAGTTTAATAAGTTAATGTCTACCAGAGGACTGTGCTCAGGGGTTGCCTTTCAGGCACGTTGTATTGACTGATCTGTCATCTGGACTTTGAGTGGTTGTGTTGCACATCTGGACTTTTTCATCTGTTTTACCCAAAGTCAGCACTGACTGCTGTTCCCTCCCTCTGAAAGCCACCTGAAACCACCGAGGGAGCCTAGGAACTTGGCCAGATTTCTGTACCGAAATAGCTCAGTGAGATCACGCCCATCAATACAGAACTCTAACAATGAAGTCTTCAAAGATACCATTGACCTCTTTGGGCCTTGTCCGGGAAGGGAGCACTGGTTATGGTGTGAAGCGGTCAGCTGGGTAGCACCAGCCCACAGGATTTATGGTGCCCTGGCCCCTCTGCTGTATCTGTGAGCTACCAACCCAGCGACCTGTGCCAGTTCAATATCCTTGTGGACCGAAGACCCAGCTGTGGGAAACTGAAAAGTTAGGCCAACCTGCCCTCTTGCAGGCTGCTGGGTGTTTTGTTAAAACATATGGCTGGGGAGGGGAGCTGGAGCCCCTAGCCTCAGAGAGCGGCTGAACTTGTGCAATGGCAAATAGCACTGAGAGCTTTGAGTGAACAGGCTTTCTTCTAGGACCACCTTTAGGCTTTGGTGGAGCTCCCCTTCCTGGCAGCTGCAGGGCAGCAGGCACAGTAAGGCTGAGCTATCTGCAACCAAGCCAACCAAGCCAAGAGCTTCCCATGGCCCGGAATGATAGGCCAAAAAAGACCCGTAGCAAGGCAGCTCATGTGGCATCCCACTGAAGACTTGGCCAAGGAGACACAGGACATGTGGAAGTACAGCAGGATGGGCACCAGTCTTGGCAGCCAGGCCAGCAGCAGGTGCTTCTTGCGATGGGAGGGGATAGTGGGACCAGAGCTGGGATTGGGCAGAATGTGACTCCACAGATCTGTCTTGCTTCCAGTTCTCAGGACCATGCAGCCACTGCCTACACCTTGGGGGAACCTAGCAAGTCCAGCTGACCGTTCTACACGTGGAACACAAGTGGGTTGCTCCCTTCACCCTGAACTTGGCCACTAAATAGATTGAGATATAAGGCCCGTGAAGGAGCTTATGGGGTTGGAAAGAAGCTGTGATGACCTAGTGAACATTGGGTAAAGAACACAAAGCCGATTAGATAAGCAAAAGACCGGCAACGTGCTGTCCCTGCAGCCAGCTGGGTTGGAGGACTCGGTGCCAGCCTTCCCTCAATCAGCCCCGCAACCTACGTGACATGCCAAATGGCATCTGGAGATAGGATTTCTGCTAGCCCTCCGTTTCTGCCTTTGTACTCCAAGCACAACCCAAGAAGCCTGTAGGTTTATCTGTAATGGCTGTGCCCCATTCCAGAGTGGGCAGCCCTGGACTCCCTCCCCAGAGAGCAACAAGGCCACGAAACATTTATGGCTGGAAACTCTGCCTTGCTGGCCACCCTCTTCCACAAGACGCGACTTCCTGGTGATTGTGGACGTATCCATGTATGTGAACTCTCATTTTGTTTATATCAAATGCAGAGGCAAAGCAGCAGCAACTGTCCACAGCTTTCCCATTCGCCTCCAGATTGAGGGAAAGCCTATTTCTGAAGCTAAAGTACTGGAGCTTTTAAATGCATGGGCTCTTGGCCGAGTGACTGGATTAACAGCGTGCCCCTTCTTCCTGTGCCAGGGCTTAAACACTCCTCTACAATATGAGTTGCGGGGAAGGCATGCGCGACTATAGGACCCTGGAGTCTGCATGGGGGCTGAGCGAGGCCAGCCCTGCCCACTTAGGGTTTAGTCTGTGGCTCAGTCAGTGAGACAGGAGCAGACTCTGTGCCTCTCTGGGACTGACATTTGCATGCTGGAATGATCCGTGACAGGAAGAGAATAAGAGTTTGGCCACTCTGGACTCAGCTCATAGAGACTTGGTGGCCTGGGATGTAAGGCGAGAACCAGGCCAAGGTCACCTGAGCCACAGTGTGAAACACATTCCAGGCAGAGGGCAGATCATTAGGGCCTGGTGGTAACCAGAAACTTCTGTTGTTCCTGAACAGGAGGAGTTTAATAAAAGATGAAAGACTGAAATGGGAAAACTTTTCCAGGTAAAATTTCAGTGCTGGGGCAAAGTATTTGCTCCCCTCTCCTCCCCCACACCCCCTCCCCTAGACTTGTGGGCCTGCTTCAGGTAGCTCAGTGGCTTGGGGACTTGTGCTGGCCCATGACACAGAGCCTTAGGTATCGCAGAGCCCTACATGCAGAGCCATGTAGCCAAAGGCCGAACAGGAGCTGGTGGCCCCAGCCCAGCAGCAGGAGAGGGAGTCCACTCGGGGCTGGGGGCTCCAGGCCCAGGGGTCATCGAGAGTCCCTGATAAATGACACATCCCCTATTAGCATCAGAAACACCAAGCTACAGCAGCTCCCCACCTTCTGCACCCCCAGCGGCCTCAGGCCCCGGGCTAGGCCCCAGCTTAGGGAAGCCCCTGAGCGAGACAGGTTAGGGCAGCCTTGAACACTTGAGCTAAGCAGCATTAGGGATACAGAGGATTCAGTCTAGCAAGTACAGTGCCTGGTCGCAGCTGAAGAGCAAGGGTAAGGATGATTCTCCTGAGCTGGTGTCTCCAAAGATGTCAGAGTCAATCCTTCCTGAACGGCCAGAGACTCAACGAGGCCAGGAGGAGGACGCGAGGCTGGCCAGCTGCAGGGGGAGCTCAGGGCTGCCTGCCAGGGCAGGACCACCAGCAAGCGAGGTTGCCCAATCTGCAGGGTGAGGAGGGTAACTGCACCACTTGTTCAGTTCTGCAGCTCTCATCAGTTCTCAAACATGTTGCAATACTTGTGAATAAATCTGAACAACGAGCCGAGAAAGGATTGGCACATGTCTGGGAGGGGGAGGCGGCAAGGTTTCCTGACAACTGCTCCTGTGAAGCCTGTGCCACCTTGTCAGACCGCTGTCATTCATTTGATCATTGCCACCTCCCAAGGCCTTTATGTGAGCCAGCTGTCAATGAGACATTCCCGCAGCTGTGGACTGCAGACTGCTTGCTGGTCCACTGTGTGGAAGTGGCTGGGCGTTTTTGTTTGTTTAAGACTGACTGACTTGAAAGGCAGAATTGGGGCCAGTGCAATGGCTCATCTGGCTAATCCTTCACTTCCAAGCACTGGCATCCCATATGGGCACCAGTTAGTCTCCCTGCTTGTGGCCTGAGAAAGAAGTGAAGGCTCAAAGCCTTGGGACCTTGCACCTGAGTGGGAGACCAGGAAGAGGCTCCTGGCTCCTGCTCCTGTTTGGCTCAGCTCTAGCTATCGCAGCCATTTAGTGGATGTATCTTGTTTCTCTCTGTACATCTGCCTTTGCAATGAAAATAAATCCTTGAAAAGAGGCAGAGTTACAGGGAATGAGAGAGAAATGGAGATGCTCCACCTTGTGGTTCATTCCCCAAATGGCCACCACAGCCACATCTGGCCCAAAGCCAGGAGCTTCTAGGTGCTTCAGCCCACATGGGCTCGGGGTTCAAGCACGTGGGCCATCTTCTGTTGCTCTCCTAGGCCACTAGCAAGGAGCTGGATCCAAAAGGGAGCAGCAGAGGTTTGAACCAGGGCCAATATGGGATGCTAGCACTCTAGGCAACAACTCAGCCCCCTCTACCATGACTCTGGCCCTGAAGGGACCATTTAAGGCTTGGGCCCAACTCCCTTTCTCACCATCAGTGGTTTTTCATGGATTTTACTTTCAAAGTATTTCAACATTGGGCCTTTTCCTAACACTGTCCTAAAACTTGACACAGAGTTCCCTGTCCCCAGCACCTGGGCAACAAGAATCCAATCCCTTGAGCCATCACTGGTATCTCTGAAGGGCAACATTGGCAGGCAGGCAGGGTCAGGTGTCAACCCAGGAATGGGAGCTGAGGGCAGGTAGGTCTAAACCAACATCTTAGTCTCTAGATGAAGCACCTACTCTTTTGTTTCTTAGAAAGCAGCATCCATCATTAGGGTAAGGGAAAACATGGGGCCATATACCTATTTGTTGTGGCACAACACGTTAGGCTGCCCCCTGCAACATGGACAACGCACACCCTGAAGGGTGGTTTCAGCCGTTGCACTTCCAGTCCCACTCCCTGCTAATATGCCAGAAAAGCAGTGCGAGCTAGCCCAAGTGCTTGGACTCCTAGCACCATGAGGGAGAATGGGCTGGAGCTCCTGGCTCCTGCCCGGCCCAATCCCAGACATTGTAGCCAGTGAACCAGCTTCCTCTCCAAACTGCTTAAAATGATCTTTAAAAAATAAATAAATAAAAAGGAAAGAAGAGTCTGAGCCAGAAGCTAAGTCAACCTGTGGAAGCTGTAGCTAACCAGCAGGAAGTGTTCTTGGAGCTTCTCCCACAAAGGAACAGTGTGAGACACCACCATCTCCTGGTGAACATAACATGGCGTTGTTCTACTAAAAAGATCACCCAAAGGTTCTTTTTCAAAAAATCTTTCTTCTTCAAGATTATGGGAACCAGTGCTGTGGACCACAGGGATTCACCCACCTCCTGGGACAGTACCCCTTCTTTTCCATTCACCAGGCATAAGCCAGGATCCACAGCGCTGGCAGGAGGCCCAGACCTTGGGCCACCACCCCAGGCCTTCCCACGGATACTAGCAGGAAGCTGGAGCCGAAGCTGAGCAGCTGGGACTTGAACCAGTGCCCTGGCCCAGGACGGTGGCCACCATGTACTGTCCTCAGCAGTTGCACCACACTGCCCACAGCAGGTGCAAAGTTTTCTGACAAAGGGCCAGAGTCAATGCCGAGGCTTTCTGACCCTGCTGCCCGTCAGTGGTCGCCTCCCTTGTCAGCTGCCTTCCTCCTCCAGCTCCGGCTCACCTCAGCAGAAGTGCTCACAGCTTCGCGCTAAGAACACACCCTCGGGGGCCACACTCCACCGTGTGTAACTATGGGCAAACTACTTCTCAGTGCCAGGCAGGTGTGAGACGTACAAGTTCATTTGTGTCACCAAGAAGGGGCCTGAGGACGTTATGAGAGTTACAACACACTTGTCAGAGTTTATTATCATGGGATCAGAAGGTGACACCTACACCCCCCTCCACCACCGGGATGCCGTCGGGGTTCACGCTGAGGAGCGGAGCTGCAGGAATCAGGGTCACACCAGAGTCTGCTCACAGAAACGCCGGATGCACCTTCAGGCCTCCACGTTGCCGGCCCCAGAGCTGCTCACTTGTCATGTTCGAAGTCAGCTGGGTTCTTCCTCTTGGACTTGGCAAACTCCTCATTTCCCCAGGTGTAGACCAGATAGAACACCACGAACGCTGGGAGGACCCAGAGCGGGGAACACAGTCAGCACAGGGCCGACACGCCACGCCGGCCTCCTGGACACCGGCCTCCAGACAGGAGCTGCCCGCATCCACAGTAAGGGTGACCCAAACAAAGCCGGGGGCTGGGGGGGACCCTCCTTCCCAGGAAGATGTGCCACAGGGTCGCTGCCACCTCGCCCCGCTCAGGACGTTCTGCTGCACATCCCAACACGCAAGACACCCTTGCATCAGCGCTAAGGGCAGGTGAACGGCCGTGACCTGCAGGGGCGCCCCTAAGTGACCTCAGGCCAGCCCAGCCCTACAAGTAGGTCCGTGGGGGCAACCCGGGGCAGCTCGGGACAAGCTCCCGCGCGTCCAGCCCCCCGCCCCGCGCACTCACGCGGCACCACGCGAAGCACGGACGCCCGGGAGCGGCGCAGCACGTTGGGGATGCCCTTGCTTAAGAAGTGCGGGAAGGCGCGCTGTTCGAAGGGCGACAGGCTGTAGCTGATGACATGCCGCACCCGCGCCAGGTTCCCGAACTCGCGGCCCATCGTCGCGGCGGCCCTACGGAACCCAAGGCGGACAGGGAGCGTTGGCTCAGCCTCGGGACGCGCCACAGCCCCTCACCCTCCCGGGACCCCCGCCACCAGCCGCCCGTGCCCCCCGACCGCCGCACCGGGGTCAGCTCGCCCTCCAAATCCTACGAGCCGGACGCCGCTGTCGCCGCCTTGCGTCACTTCCGGCAGGATAGGCGACGGCTCTCGCGGAGGCCCTGAAGTCACTTCCGGAGGGTACCATGTTCTAGATGTTTCCAGGGGAAGACGCCTTCGTCCCCTGTCTTTCAGGGAAGTGGCCGGGCGCTGGGCGCTGGGCCGCTGGGTGGGCGAGTCCTCCGGGTGCGTCGGCGTTTGCGCCTGGTTGTGTCCCGGGAGCGCGGCGCGTCTGTGGGGTCCCGGCCAGGAGGCGGCCAGGGTGCCGGGAACCCGGACAGGGAGGGCAAGGAGAACGTGAGGGTCGCCGACGCCAGGGTCCCAGGGCCTCGGTAGGCTCTGCCAGGGCTCCGCACGCGGGCTGCCGCCTTCCCCCACGCCGTGACGCGGTCTCAGCAGGCGCGGAGGCGCCGGGTCTCGGCCCGCCTCACACGCTCGGATTTCCAGTGCCCTGGGAATGCAAAGTCGGGTTGGACTTGCTCGATCTCCAGGGAGCTCTGGTTGTAGCTCTTTTGAGGCACCTCCAGTGCTGTTTGTTTTGCCATCCCCAGCAGCAGTTCCCGTGGTGGGGTTGGCCGTTGTTGGGCACCCCTGTTGGCCGGTTGTACACCTTCCTTAGGCTTGCCTATGAAGAGCTGCCGAGATTTTCATTGGATTGTTGGTTGGCTGCTGAGTTCCTTACGTGTTCTGGATATTACCTCCTTGTCAGGCGTACAGCTTGCAAGTGTTGTTTCTGTGGCTTTCTGTACAAAACCTTCAATTGTTGGATGAAATCGCACTTCTTGTTTTGTTAGCTTACATGCTTTTATTTTCTGTGCTATCAGGTATCTGGAAAATCGTTGACCGTCCAGAGTCCTGAGCTGTTTTTTGCCTCTGAATAAGTGGATGATTTCACTGTCTAAGTCTTTTCATTCGTTTGAGTTGACTTTTGTACACAGTGAGATAGTTTCATTCTTCTACATGTGAATGAGCAATGCTTTTAGTATTCTTTTTTTTTAAATCTCATTTTCTTTAAAAATATTTACTTTTTTAAGATTTATTTTCTTATAGGAAAGTTAGATATACAGAGTGGAGGAGAGACAGAGAGAAAGATCTGCCATCTGCTGGTTCACTCCTCAAGTGGCTGTAAATGCCAGAGCTAAGCCGATATGAAGCCAGGAGCCTGGAGCTTCTCCGTGGTTTCCCACGTGGGTGCAGGGTCCCAAGGCTTTGGGTCATCCTTGACTGCTTTCCCAGGCCACAGGCAGGGAGCTGGATGAGAACTGGAGCAACCAGCACATGAACTGGCGTCCACATAGGATGGTGGGCCTTGCAGGCAGAGGATTAACCCATTGAGCCATCACACTAGCCCTCAACCACTGATTTTTGCAAACTGATTTGTTTAAAAAACAGAGTGACATAGATCTTGGATCTATTGGCTCACTTCCTCAGTGGCCACAACAGTCAAAAGCCAGAAACTGTGGTTTCCACAGACTTGGGCTGCCACCCAGTGCCTTTCTGGGTGTGTTAGTAGAAGCTGGATTGGATGCTGTGTAGCTGGGATACCGACCTGCCATCCCAAAGGCAACCTAACCGTGTGCATCACAGTGCCACCCCACCCCCTGCTACTGATTTGTGTGGAGTGGCTTTGTATCCTGCCACTTTGACTAATAAACCCGTTAATTCTAACAGGTTTTTGATAGACACTTGGGGTTTTCTGTATAAAAGAGCATGTCATCTATAAACAGTGACAACATAACTCACCCTTTTTCAATTTGAATGTCCTTCGTTTCTTTGGCCCAGCTGCCCTACTAGGACTTGCTTGTCTTGTTCCAGATCTGAGAAAGCCTTCAACTGTCCTGCATTCAGTGTTAGCTGTTGGTTTTATACATATGGTCTTTATTATACTACATTGGAAAAGACCCAAGTGTCCATGAATTGATGAATGGCTAGAGAAAACATGGTATATACACGATAGAATATTACTCGGCCATGAAGAAGGATGATATCTTGTCATTTGCAACAACATGGACAGAACTGGAGGACATCGTGTTAAGTAAATAAGCCAAGCACAGAAAGGCAAATGCCATTTGATCTCATTAATAATGGAATCTAAAAAGTGGGTGATCTTGTAGAAGTTAAAAATATAATCATTACCAGAGGCCAAAAAAGGAGATGGGGGAAGGCATAGGAAAGGATGATTAATGGTATGGGATCATAGCTGGATAGAATAACAAGTTCTGGGATTCTTGTATGCTGGGTAAGTGTCAATAATGTACTGTGTAGTTCCCTGTTTAATAACAAAAAACCTAAAAGATAACATTTGGATGCTTTCATTGTAAAGAAATGTTAAATGCTTAGAAGGATAAAGTTGTTTATCCCAATTGGCTATAACAATGTAGACATATAACACCAAAACTATCCACAATGTTCATGTCTGTTGAAAAAATATTTTTTAATTAAAAAAAGAAAGTATCTCCTCAAATGCAACCTCAGAAAGTGTGGAATCTTGGCCAAGTGCTCAGTAAGTCCCCTCGGTGGCAGTGGTAGAGGAAGAGGCTGCCTCGACCATGCGGCCGAGGTCTGGCCTGGGAGTGGCTAGGGGCACCAGGGGAAGACAGGGGCTGAGCATGCGTCTCCCTGACTTCTGTTTCTGCGTGCAAAGTGTGTACATGTTGTGTTAGCAAGTTTGCTGGTCAAGGGGAATCTAAAACTAAGCTCCCATCCTGGTAGGTAGGTAGGTAGGTAGGTAGGTAGGTAGTGTGTGTGTGTGTGTGTGTATGTGTGTGAGAGAGTGTGAGATTATCCTTGCAGTTTTTAACCTTGCTTACCAGCCTCTAGCCAGGGGAGCTTGGCCAACAGTACACTCCTAATTTGCAAGCATCCATCAGCTTTATTAACCTGGACACTGCACAGACCGGTTTTGTGTCTGACTGGAAGTTGGGTTTCTGCCAGCAACCGTGTACGTCGTATTTCCCCTGCCAGTCCTGGGAATCAGCTTTTTTTGACACATCCTCACCTCTTTTCCTAAAACATTTCAACCAGCCGTGCCTCAGCCCCAAGGCAAGATTATAAAATAGAAAAGGCAAGGAGAAAAAATGCTGGAGTGAATTCAGCCACAATTTGCATGGCTAGTTAAAATTTTTTCAGCATCTGCGAATTTCTCAAAACCTTTGCAACATAATGTTTATGTACAAAAAGACTGGTCAAAGAAAGGCCACTTGATCTTGAAGGTTTCTTTAAGAGCTAGATTTAAAAGTCAGTCAAGACTTAAGGGAACTTCTGTCTCTTTGAAGTACACTGCCAGGGTAGTTGCAGTGCCCCAATTTGTATTTTATCCTAGGTTGCCTGGCAGGACTGAGCAGCCTGCCGACTCTCTACTCCCTGGAGTGGTCATGCCCACTGAGACTTCTGCTCCGCCTCCAGATCAAAGCAGGAAGGAATGACTTACTGCAGGCACCTGGCGGTGGGGGCAGCAGAGTCAGGGCACGGCCCAGCGCTGTAAATTGTGTCCCAGCACAGCTGACTGTCATGCATAGTTAACTTCTCCATGCGCTCTGCAGCAGCTTTCATCGAGTGCGTAAGCAGCATCTTAAGAGTCCTAAGGTTTCTCTCCTGAAAAAAAGAGATTTAGGGTTTTTTTTTAATATTTATTTATTTCACTAGTTAAGATTTTTATTTGAAAGGCAGAGTTAAAGAGAGAAGGAGAGAGATATCTTCCATCCACTGGTTCGTAGCACCCAGTGGCCACAACAACCAGAACTGGGCTAATCCTAAACCAGGAGCTTCTTTTGGGTGTCCCTTGTGGGTGCAGGGACCCAAGGCTTTGGGCCATCCTTCACTGACTTCCTGGCCCATAAGCAGGGAGCTGGATCAGCAGTGGAGCAGCCAGGAATAGAACCAGCACCCATGTGGAGACTGGAGCTGGAGGTGGAAGCTTCGCTTACTGTGGCATGGCACAAGCCCTGAGAGATTTAATTTTTAGATCGTTCCCTAATTTTTCTAGACTCAGTTGCATAACTAGCCTTACTATAATGAGAAATTTTCAGTAAATGTGTTGTCAGGGGGTGGTTAGGGAAAAATAAGAACAATTCAAAATAATGAAATCAATCTGATCTAATGAGGGTCGGTTAAGGGTGGCATCAGCTGTGTGTCGTCCAGCTGATAAAAATCAGCTTCAGCTAGGCGTCCTTGAGGTCTGATTACAGAAGAAAGGCTAGTCCACGCACACAACTAAAATTGGTTTAAGAAAGCAAGCCGGGGCCTCCCCGAGCTTCAGGAAGCCGACCGGCGGGGGGAAATGTTTTCCTCCTCAGTTCTCCCAAGCCATGGCGCCGCCGCCCCGCAGATTCCTCCCCTGGTTTTGCTGTTTTGCCTGCGTGTGCTTTCCAATTAGTTCTGATTCTCAGCCTCCTAGAGGAGCGCCATGGGTCGCCGCCAACGCCGCCTCGGAGTCTGTGGCTGAGCCCTGGTCCTTGCTGCAGCCCGTGGGTGGGGGAGAGCACTCTGGCCTGCTTCCGCCTCTCTTCAGAGTGCTGTCTGTCAGGCGAGGGGCGGCCCCCAGGCTGCAGCCAGACTCGAGCGCGTTGCACTACATGAAGAAACTCTACAAGGCATACGCTACCAAGGAGGGTATTCCTAAAGCCAACAGAAGACACCTCTACAACACAGTTCGGCTTTTTACCCCCTGGGTCCAGCAGAAGGCTCCTGGACACCAGGTGACAGGTGTGTAAGCGGCTTGGGGGGTGGGGGTCATTGGGTACAGGAGCATGTAACAAGTTTGTGCAGTTTGACAACGGAAGGGAGTTGGGCCCTGCTTCTTGAATTGCCTTTTACTTTGAATGAGAGTCACAATCCAAGCAAGCCAGGCACTTGGCCTTCCACTTGTTCATAATGCTCTCCTTCATTGTCAGGATGGGTTTACGTGGTAGAGTGTCGCAGCCAGAGCAGACTTTGCTGACTTAAAAGGAGACAGGAACTGGCAGGGAGGGTTGCCATCATTTTCTGTTCCGCCGAGCTGCTGACCCACAAGTTTGTGTGCCCACCTGTTGGTGTGCATCAAACAGGGTGTGTTCTCCGTGTTTGCCCCGTGAG